CCTCCACCCCCTACAGCAACCAGGTCCCTGAGATGGAAGTGCTGCGCTCTGGCATCAGCCCAGGGCATGTGGCTTTGCATGACAAAGATCTCCTCTCAGGGTCCTTTATGTTTTTGGGGGCTGAAATGACCATGTGCTGTCCTGGAGCTGGCTGGATGTGTACAGAAAGATGCTCTAAACATGGGCAGAGAGTTATCCTTTGGGCTCAGTCTGAGCTGGAGGTGCAGGCTACAGCCCCAGAGCTGGTCTGGAGAGCGGCTGGAGGCTCCTACCTCCACTGGGGAAGGGGTAAAGGCTGCCATGAGGAGGGGCAGTCAAATTTAGCAAGTGTTGGCTTTTCCTGCTGCCTGTTTGCCTCTGCAGACCTGGAGCCTGGCTGTACTTCTGTCCCTGGGGAAGTGACAGGTTTTGTCGGCTTGCTTGTGGATTCAGTGCAGGGCCTCTTGACTCTTGGATGTGTTTGGAGTTTGCCTGCCAACGTTTCTTTTAGCTAAACATGTTTGGAGCGAGTGGCAGAGTAAGTGGTCTGGAGCCATTAGCTTTCTGCAGGCAGATGGCACCTCCTAGGGTCGCTGAAACTGGCCCCAGAGGTGCTGGGTCCTGCGGGGAACAGGGTGATGGATGCTAGTAGGGCAGGTCTGCATCAGTATTTCAGAGGTGCTCTGCAGAGCCCTGTCCATCCGAGCCACGGCACTGGGGGCTGAGCTGCTGTGTGCCAGGCCTGCCGTGCAGAACGGTCCTCGAGGCTGGGGCAGCTGAGCGGGGCTGATCTCTGCACTCACAGCCAACTCCCAGGGACATGGCCGGGTGCCTTTCGGTGCTGGGTGCTGGCAGCCCCTCTCTGCGCTGCTGGTTCCAGCTCCCTGCTGGGTGCAGCAGGGATGGGATTAATCTCCCTGGCCTGCAGAGTCAAGGGCTGGCTGATGTCCCTGGCAGGTCTCCCGGATGCGGATCGGGGGCAGCCCAGGCGGGGCCCAAGGATGGATGGTGGCCAGGGTCTGTGTCCCCTCCTGCACCCAGCCCCACGAGCACTGTATCAGCCGGGTCTTCTGTGGCCCCAGCATGGGCTGTGGGGAGGATTGCTCTGGAAGCGAGGGTCTTGCCCTCCCACCTTTCCTCTGGGGGGAAGCACAGTTTGTATCATCTGCTGTGCCAGATCGCACCTTTGCAGCAGGAGAGTAAGAGATGGACTCTGACTCATTTTTATGTAAAATCATTGGTTTCCTTTGGTTCTGTGGGATGAGCTGACCGGGGAGGAACTAAGGTCTCTATCTTGTTTTACATGTGTAATTATCACTCTGGATAAGAGTCCAGGCTTCTTGGTTATGGGAAGTGGGTTATACAGTAGATGATGGATGTTTAGATTTTTATTTATCATATCTTTTATGGTTAAGGCACATGCCAGGAAACTAAGTAAAAGTTGTACATGCTGTACTTGCTGTGGGCAGTGCTATGCTTGGAGAGCAGGAACTAATGTCAGAGCAGGAGTGGGAGCCAGTGTTCCTAGGCTTGTCTGTGCAGGAAGGAGGGGATCAGGTTAAACTGGAATTTGAGACCTTTGCTCCTCACATTGAAGGGGGGGAGGAGTGGAAAAGGGGTAAGTGGGGACTAAGAGACAATGCTGGAAATTTTGGACTTCTAAGATTCCTGATATCCTATAGATGACTTTGAGCAGACTTCATTGCATCTTTGTAGACTAGAAGTCAAGGCATGAAGTGGAGTTAATGTTCCCTACCTGCCTGTTGTTGCTTATCTGTTAATGAGATGCTATGAGAGGTGGGGAAAGGCAGAGCCTTCATCACCTTCAGGGTTGCTGGCTTCAGCCAAAGGGCAGCCAGTATACCATGATTTTGCTGCCTCTGAGCTGAAGGTGTCTTGCTGCAGTGCTCCTTATGCTGCTTGTATTCCCCTTGCACTCAAGTGGAAAGCACTAGCCCCAAACATGGCCCTCACAGCTGGGACCCAGCAGCCTAGATCTGCAGCCCTGTTGCTCCAGCACCTGGGAGCTCCCAGCAGCCAGAGGCAGCCCTGTGGGTTAGAAGCCTTCTGTGCTGGCACTGGAAAAGTGAGAGCAGCAACCTATTTGTCCAGGGCATGGTTTAAAATGGAGAAATAAAACAACCTACCTCTGGGTGGGCATGGATTCTGCCTTCCTGTTGGACTCGCACTGATAGAGTTTTGCACTGTTCAGTAAATACTGGAACACAAGGAGTATAGCTGTTTGGCTGATAGGCTTGAATTAATAGGTGAATTATGCAATTAAGTGAATGTATCTGAGGAGAAGCAGCATGAGATGCAGACCCTGGTGCAGACTTGTGCAGCTAGCCCCCCTTTTGAATGACCACTGGGCTGGCACCTGTGTGGTGACAGCACTGAGATGGCTGGGATAGAATGTTGTGGCATAGTCCTTGGGGGACTTGCTCTGTCTTCGTGCATACAGTCCTGAGACAGGTTATAGTGTATGCAGGGTAAGTGCAGCCAAATAACTGATGGACTCGTGCACATGTGGGTGAGTCTTGGATCTCCTAGCCCTTTGCCTCTGAGGTACCTAGTCAAGAGTAAGTGGTTCTTAGTGTGTGGAATGTTTGTGCAAGGTCAACAGGTTCTGCCTGAGGTGATGATGGGTGCAGGTGTAGGAGTGGGTACTGCTGTGGACACTGGGCATGGACTCCCAGCTGGTTGCTGCCAGGCTGGACGCAGAAGGAGACCTGCCTGTTGCCAGAGGCAGGTGCTGCTTTTGGTGATGCTCAGCCTTCAACACCTCCAGCATCCCTAGCAGGGGGTCTCTGCTATGGCTGGGATAGTCTGCTTGGAGACCCCCGATGCCATGTACTTCCCTTCTCTGACACCTTCCTTCTCAGCTTTCTAATCGGAAGCTTTCCTAAGGGAACATGCCAGGGTGGTGTCCAAGGGGGTGTACAGTGTGGGGGTGACCTGCCTTGGCTCATACCTGGCGGAAGAGTTATATGATGGCAGGCAGGGGGAGGAGGAGGCTGGACAGACCCTTTCAAGGAAATGCAGCAATAGTATTTCTTAATCAGTTGTTTGCAAGACAGGGAGCTAGTGTTGATGTAGTGTAATCTGGACGTGCCTGGCAGGGATGCACTGTAACTTCACTGCAGACAGCAAAGCGTAAATAAGTCGACTCGAACTAGCTTGTTGCTGAAGACCGATGAGGGGGATGCTCATGTTATCAGCAGAGCTGCAGCTCTGAGAAGATGTCCAAGGAGAATGAAAAGCAACCATGGTAACTGCTCATTTTCTTCAGCGAACACCCTTTCCAGGAGATCAGAAGCAAACTGGACTGGGGGGAGCGTGTGCATCCCAGCTGCTCACAGCAGCATTGCTATCTCTGCTGTCTCATCTCCTGCTCGAGTCCAGGCTGGACTGGTGCAGAAGCACCCTGGCTTGCCTGCAAGCTGTGGGCTTGTGGTCTCCTGACAGAGGAAGAAGAAGGCACCAGAGACTGGAGCTCCTCATCCTCCACCTGGATGGTTCCAACTCCACTTCTGCCCACTGCCATATGGGAAGAGGCTGCTTCTGACTTTGAGTACGTCTGGTGTTTGGGAATGTAACGGGTCTAGACTCAGATGCTGAAAGCTAGTAGTAAGTCTGGCTCTGGGTTATTCATAACATGGGTCTAGCCATGACCAGCCTGTGAGATTGTCTTTGCAGCATGTGGATGAATGCAGTGCAGAACAGATGGGTTTCTGGACCAGAGTGTGGTACCTCTGGTCCTCAGCTTAGTGGCACAGCAGCCCCGAAAGGTGCGTGAGGCAGAGCAGAGCTGCTGGTTGCAGCATTGTGAGCTGTGAACTGTTCTCTCCTGGCCCCTTTGCTTTGGGCTGGTCTTGTGCCCTGGAGTCATCTCTGAAGCAAAACCTAACTTTTAGCTGCAATCATTGCTGGGCGGTCCTCTCAGTTATAAATTTCTGTCTTAGCCAGCCTTGTCAGCTTTTGGCCCTGGCAGTATCCTACAACAGGGAATTTCCAAGTTGGTTTGACTGTTCCTGTAAGCAGCTCTTCTCCCCAGCGTGCACCTCATCCCAGCAGAGAGGTGGCTGATGCCAGTGTGTGATCTCTGGGACAGGGATGCTCTGAGACTGGTGCTAGAGGTGGAACAGGGTAGTCTGTCCTCACAGGTCTTTGGTCACACAGTCTCCTTTCTCAGAGGTGTCTGTAGGTAGGATTAGGCCTCCTTCCTTCTGTCTGTAGATATCAGCCCCTTTGCTGCTGGCCCCATTCTCATGTCCCAAGTTCTGCTTTTGTCAAATTGAACATGATGTCAAATTAAAGCCATCACAGGGATGGTTGGAGTGAAACACCCAGTTTAATGAGGCAGCATTGAAAATCAATAACTTAATTGCAGACATTTGATGGACTTTTATCCAATTTATAGTCCTCCTGCCCTGCTACGTGTAGAGCATGAGGACGTGGTGCTGTGTCTGGCTCTGGGCAAGCAAAAGCATTTCCTCTCCCATGGCTGTCATCGTTTTGCAGGTCTGTCTGCTGCAGATCTGTGGTGCTGCAGTGTGGATCAGGCCCTGGCTGGGAGGTGACCCATGGGCTGGAGGTGACCATGTTGCGCAGTGCTAACAGAAAAGGGGCAGCTGTGGTGATAACATCTGGTCCCCGGCTCCTTCCCAGAGGGTCCAGCAGAAGTCTGCTGGGAGAAAAGCTCCCAGCTGTTCAGACCAGTGATCTCCTGGAGAGTAGGTCCCCTGCCTAGACAGCAGCCCCAAAGTGGCCCAAGGTCCAGTCCCTCCTGCTATTCTGCAGGAGAAAAGGGGCATTTGCAGCGGTGTCTGGAGTCCTGGCTCTCAGGCTTTTGGGAGGAGGCAATGCTGCATTTGCACTTGACTGTTCTTGTTTCCATCAGCATGTGCGAGTGATCAGTGTTAGCCCCTGCTCTCTGTTCTGCCAGCTCCTGGCCCTGAGGTTTGCATTGCTCTTCTCACCTCCTCCCTGACTTGTTGTTTTCCTCCTTGTCCCTGCTGCAGGCACCTCTGTGATGCAGGTGATGGCATCTGATGCTGATGACCCCACATATGGGAGCAGTGCCCGGGTAGTCTACAGTGTGCTGGAGGGCGAGCAGCACTTTACTGTGGACAGTAAAACAGGTGAGCAGCACCCAGCTGGGCTGGGGCAGTCTGGGGTGTCAGGAGATGAGACCATGGCCACTCATCCAGCATCTGTTCAGTGCACAGCTGTGTGCCAGCAGGCCTGCACCTCTGTGTTGGCCATTGATGCGGGGGTCCCCGTGCTGCAGGCATTCCTGGATGTTGGAGGAGCTCGGCAGCCCTGCAGGCTGCTGCCTGGCTCCGTGCAGTGCCTGCAGCAGGCAGCACTGTGCAGCAAGACCTGCAGCTGACAGCCCAGAGTGCTCTGCCTGCACCAGCCAGAGCTCCTGTGTGCTCCTTGCCCAGAGCAGGAGTGCACCCTCAGGCATATAAAATCTCAGTGTGAAAGGTTTAAGTACTACCAGAGGGGCCTTTCCAAAGGCTGCATTGTTATCACCAGGGCTTTGATTAAAGGTAACACTTTAAATTAAGGATCGGTTTATAAATGTTCTATTAATATTTAATGAAAGAACGGTAGAAGCTGCTCCAATCCTTAATAACTTATAATAGAGCCTGTTGTAAAATGCCTCTGTAATAAATCCCTAGCAGATGATGCTCTGACATACTGGTTAGAGTAGACCATAACCAGGAGATGTTGGGGTATATATTCCTCTGCCTCCCAGGAGTGTGACTCTCATTACCCTTAATGGGAGCCTCACAAGCTTTCTAAGGAGGGAAGACACTCAAATGCTAATAAGAGGTATTTAAGGCACAAAGCATGTAGTAAAGTACTCACAGTTTAATGAAAAATTGTCAAAGGACAAGCATGCTGGGTAGCTGCAGCTCTTGTTGGAAAGCTGGACAGCAAAGTTCCACCCCCTGCTCTATTGCTGAACCACAGTGACACAGGCTGAGATCAACCTCTGGACTGAAGTGCCAAGCCTCTGTCAGGCTGACCTGCGTCTGTGCTAACATGTCATTTTTAAGGCTGTTTTTATGTAAGTTAGTGGAATTTGTTTGGAGGCTCTGGCATAAGGAGAGTGCAAGGAAGGTACGTGTGCCTGAGCCTCTGCATCTGCATGAAACCATGCACCTTGTGAAAACCAGTCTGGTGCACATGAGCAAACCAGTCACAGCCCTGGCTGCCCCTGGAGGAAGGCTCAAATTTGGAAGCTCCTAAGCACACCCGGACAGCAGAGCTGGGGTACAGGGTGGAAAATGCCATCATCTGGATAGAGGCCGGTGCGGTGAGGAGAGAGCGCACAAGAAGCAGCTTGGGGCTGTACCCACTCCTGGCCTGGAAGCTGCTGCACATGAGCTTTCTTCTCTTCTAGAATTACTTTGTTTTTTGGTTTTTTTTTTTTTTTGGGGGGGGGGGGTGGGGGGTGTGGAGGGGGAGGCAGGCAGGCAAGGGTGAGTCGTGGGGGAGATGGATGAACGATGGGCTAAACACTGAAAATTCAGGTGTATGTGAGATCCTGTTAATCTGAGATAGCTTTCTGTGAGTGGAAGCCTGGCTGCTAGAGTGAAGAGGGACCACTGGGAGCACAATGCACAAGTCAGGACGTGCAGAGGCTCAGCTTCCTGCAACAACATTAATGCTCTGTATTAAGGCATAAACTAAAATGTGCCCGATGGGACTGTGGTGAGAATTAATGTCACTCTGGGAATCCAAGCTTCTTGATTCCTTGACTTTTTGTGTCTTAATTCTCAAGCTGGCTGCTTCATACACTGGGGGGGTTGATTTACTGTTCTACTTGCTTATGATTCATAAAAGCAAAACTGCTGACAGTCTGCAGAGGAGTCCTTGGCCCCTCTTGAGCATGTCTGTTTCCAGAATATCTGACTGCTAAAGCAGGTACTGGGGCTGACTCTCTGGTGATGTCTGAGCTGTGAATAGCCTTTTGTAGCTGTCTTCCTGGGCTCCAGGAAAGCAGTGTGCAGCTCTGCCTGTTGGCCGCTTAAGATGCAGCTGCTGTCTGTCCTGCGGCCTCGTGCCCGGCGTGAGCTGCGTGTCCTGCAGGGATGCACTGCTGGGGCAGCAGGTCCAGGACTGGTGGTGCCGAGGTGGGACACTGTTTTGTCATGTCTCTTTGGTGCTGGCCAGGAGCCAGCACATCCACCCAAGCAAATCCCATCCTGCTCCCACTCTGCACTTCAATAGGTTTTTAGTGCTCCATGTGGGAATCCTAATCTGACTGCCCTGGGTGGCCTGGCTTCTGCCCTGAGCATAAGATTTAATTATCCATAGAAGCAGCATAACTCTCAGAGCCACCATTGTTATTAATGGCCATAAAAAGAACCATAAAATCCTGGCATGTTACATTTCTTATAATATATGGTAATGAAGAACAATTTGTTTTCCCTTTTTGGTTTTGAACTCCTCCGCCTTTTCTTGCATATGCATACATGCACATGCTCCCTTGTGCACTATGTAAGCCCATGACTCCTTCCAGCACGGGTTCTCTCTTACTTCCTTGCCTTTACAACCAGCTCTTTTCACACTGTCTTCCTTAGCATAGGTATTGCGTGTACAAGTCTGGTTTGCACACTCGAGTACAGGATATGGACCATGTGTGGGTTGCTTAGTTTGTCTCCTGTTCTTGGGTGTTACTAGCTGTAGTATTCATCTTGGATTTCAGATTTGGTGGACCTTTCAAAGGCAGACCCAAACCACCTGGATGCCATGCCATATGAATTCCTACCACTCAATAAGCTCTGAATTCCCATAGTGTCTCAGACAACTTTTTGGAGGAAGACGAGCAACTAAATGGTCCCACTGGAATAGTTGAAGCTGCAGCGATGGCATTTGCTGTCCACAAAGCTGTGGAGAACGATTCCAGTTTCTGTACTGTTGAATGATGGTAAAGAAAAAGCATGGCTGATGCATATGGGCTTTTTCTATCATATACCCCAGCCACTGCCTCTCATGCTTAGAGAGATAAGTTTCAGACACAAACTGTGAGTTTGTGTTTTGTACCCCAGATCAGGTCCCAGAACTTGCCCTGCATGTGTTGAAGGTCTAGACTGGCTTTTTTTGGTGTACAAGTGGAGGATTTTGTATGCACAAACTTTGGAAGCATGATTTTCTGTGCCAGCTATGAGAATATCCCTTAGGCTTCTTGCAAGAGCCTGCAGGCATTAGTCATATTTCGGCTTTGTCCTGCCTTCCTCAATCATTCTGAGTTTGCAGGTAGGGTGCAGCTGTCTCTTGTTGGCTCCTTGTAGCGGGTGAGCTGCATCACACTGTTTCACAACTGCCCTGCCGCTGCTTGGAGGATGCTCTGCTTTGACAGGAGTCACCTCGTACGTCTGCTTTGCTGCTTCTGTTGGGAAACAGTCACTTCTGCTCTCAGTGGTGGGTGTTCGTTCTGGGTGAGAGCACTTCAGCCTGACCCCCCCTCACCCTGCAGCCGGCTGCTGACTGCAGGGGTGGTGAGCTCCAGCCCTGCCTAGCAGGACATAGGTTGGGAGGTTTAGTGCTAGTTCCTATTCCAGCTCCAGGAAGCCTGTCCTCACCCAGATCCTTCTAACTTACACTTTTCAGACACTGAGATTGGCACAGAGAGTATATGACTCCCAGTGCATTTACGTGAGAGGAGAAATCAGTGTGAATTTAAATTTTCAGGCTGAATTTTCATGTTGCTTTATATTACCCTGTACTCTGTACCTCTGCAGATTATTCACCATTATATGGGCACATCTCTTCTTTGGCAGGCAGCTGTGCCTGCCTGCTCACGTCTGTTCCCGTGTTATTTGCAATGCCCTTTCTCATCTCTGGCCAGTGTGGCTGGAGACTCGCTGCTGCCTGCTATCCCTGCCCACAGTCTCAGGAGGAAACATGAAAATACTCCACACCCAGAAGAGGAGCACAACCTGATGCACTTGGCTCCAGCAGTCTTGTTCATCCCTTTGCAGGGGTATTGACTGCTACAGAGGAATCACAGCAGGTAACATGGTAGGCCTTATAATATTTGGTGCTTTCCTTAAAAAGAACAGATTGTCTGTCGGTGCATGGGAATCTCGCTTTTTACTGAATAGATTGTTCTTCAAAGCTGTCGTTCTGCTGCATGCACAGAAACAGCAGAAGGACTCAGAACAAGGCTTATTGAAATGCAGTCCGGCATTTATGATTACTTAAAACGGCTCCTGAGTTCTAGAGCCTGTCTCCTGATTTGGAGACCTAGAGGTGAGGGCTTAAAGGTGCTTGTGCCAGGTAGAGCAGGACAAGAAATACTGGCCTGCTGGGATGAAGTTGATGGTTATTTGTGTGCCATCATTAGTTGTTTCATCCTTACCTGTCAGCCTTGCCCTGTTTGGAGACCAACCACAGCCCTAGTCTTGGGGTAGTAAAGGTGGACTGGGAGAGTTGTTGCTGGGTTCGTGCTGCATGCTGAATTGGGCTGATGAACTGTTGGATTTGTGTGATGCGGTGGTGGGAGGCAGAAGTGTTTCTCTGCTACTCTTGCCAGTTTGTTAAAAATGTTCCTCGGTGCCTGGAAACACGGATATTGGTATGTGTGTGTTTGTGTGCACTCATGGGTTTATGCAGGTCTGTGCCTCATCCCAGAAAGCTATGAGGCATCCTGCTTTGAAAAGGACTTGGCCACCCATTATGAAAAGTACCATGTTAGAAATCTGCAGGCTGCAGCACCCCTCAGCCACAAGAGTTATGGGATTCTGAACCCTCCCAATTAGCTTTGCCAGTTAGCTTGGTTGTGCTGATGCAACCGTAACGCTTCCATCTCTGGATCTCAGCTCTGATCCTCATTTGCTGAAGAGCCATGAACCTCCCGGACCTTGTGCCTAGTACCTTCCTCAGGTTGCCTGTAGCTTCTGCCTACCAAACTGTCTGGAGTTGAAGGACAGGAAGGGGGGCTGTGCATGTCGGGCAGATGAAGTGCTGGTTCTTGGGGCTAAGACCTCAACTGCAGTGGGCTGGACCTCCTCCAGGATGTATGTCTCAAGCAGCACTTGTGTCTTGGCAGATATATTGCTATTTCGATGTCACTGCAGGCAGGTGTGGGCACAGTTGAGGAATCTGTGGTCTATTTGGCGGGTACCTTGCCAGCACGGGCTGAGGCAGAGATGTGTTTGCTTTAGCTGACTAAGCTACTGGGAGGAGTGAGTCTGGTTTATCCAGTTAAATAGGAGGGGATAAAGACAAATCCAGATGCTTCTCAGGCATGCACAGTGAAAAGCCAAAAATGGCAGGAAGAGAAAACTTGTCACCATGAGGGTGGCATTTCCATCCTTGGAGATACTCAAAACATGAGACTGGATGTGGCCCTGAGTGATGTCATCTGCCTTTGAAGACCATCTGCTTTTGGACCTGAGACCTCCTGAGAATATGTCCATGTGCACTACTCCACAACTTTCTGGGTTTTACTTCACGGCAGGGAGCATGATGTTCCTGACTGCCCTCAGCTGGAAGGTGCCTTGTCCAAAGGGTCTCCAAGGATGTGGACATCTGAGGTAGAAGTATCTGAGAGCAAAGCAAAGCCCATACAGATGAGATTTCCTGGAAGGCAGTTACCTGCTGAGTGCTTTGTCCTGCTTTGTTTTTATCACTCAAAGAGTGTCTGCTGTTTGAGCAGATTTGATAATATTTATGTGATGCTGTAAGCGTCCCCTTGCCTGGTAATTATACTGATTAATCTGGACCATGCTGGAAAGCCACATGTGCCTTCTACCAGAGGGTACGACACCATGCGTCTGTATTATTCAACTATAACAGATGCTGACAAGAACTAGGGAGATGAGTCTGAGCTGGAGGTTGTTCTTGCTTTGTTAGCAGTGTCTGGGAAGGACAAAGTCTGGCAGGCTTTCCAGCTGGAAAGAAGGTGAATCGTGGATGACGATAGTGAGGACTTTTCCCTATTCTGCATACAGCAGCGGAGGTCCCTGCCTCTTCTGTCTCTGCGCCCTGAGAACAAGTCTGCCACTATCACTTGCTGCTGCTTTTCAGAGTCCCTGGGGATCAGGTTTTGGGAGAAGAGGCTATCTTGGCTCTAGGAGATGGGACCATGCAAGTTTGCTGAAGGTGGGTGTTTATGGCAGCCCTCATAGTGCCATGTTCACGGAATTGGTGTGGAGTATGTTTGGAAACCCTGATTTGTCAAGGCTGCTAGCAAATGGTAAGTGGTGCCTAAGCCTAAAAGACAAAAGCAGCCTGACACTTGGGGTAGTAGCCTGGTGTGGCCCATGCAACTTTTGGGGGAACAGCTTTCTCTTGACAGTCCTGCTGGGGCTCTTGGAGGCATGGGGCAGTTCACCTGCATCAGAGCCCCACTTTTCCAGGATGGACTGGACAAAGAGCATCTTGGCAGGAGGTGACTTCTGCTCACTGCCTGAACCCCCACCAAGACAAGGATTTTGTCTGCCTCTTGCCACTGGAAGAACTGGAACCGGCTGGGACCGTTTTTTTGCCCTGCTCTGCATGTGCCAAATGGCCTGGACTCTCTCTGCTGGGATGAGTGACCTTGGAGGTGTTCTGGGAAGCGCCTGAGCACTTTCTTCCCATCTTGCATGGTGTATTATGAGCTATATCATTATGAGCAGCTCAGTTAAGTCATTACAGCCTTGCTGAATGCATGAGCTTTTTCCCTCTCATCCCAATTCATCACTATTGTGCTGACATAAATCATTTTCATTATAAAATGCTTCAGACCCTGTTAATTAACAGAATTGCTTAAATTTCAGTGAGATAGTGCTTGCCCAGAAATAAGTTTTATATTCATAGTGGAATGGCAGGAGAGGCCTATAAGCACGACCAGCTGAGGCCAGTCGCGTGCAGCCCTGGGTGCTTGTGCAAGGCTGGTCCTGCCTGCGCTCAGGTGGGAGGTTGCTGTTCTCACTGGGATATGTGCCTGGAGGTGTATTCAGCGCTTCCTTGTCAGTGCTCCCTTGGCCCCTCTGGATGAGATGGAGTGGGACTCCCAGTTAAATGGGTTCCTCTGAACAGGCCTGGGATGAACGAGGGAGCCAGTGCAGACCCTGGGCCCCATCACAGGGTAAGCACCAGCTGTCTTCCTGTGGAAGGGTTGGGATGCTCTCTAGCAGAAATTCTGCAGTGCTCTGTGCTGCATCTCACCTGCGTGCTGGCCAGGAGCGTGGACCTCAGTGATGGAGCAATAGAAGGGCTGAGAGTTATCCAGCTGTGTAAACAGGCAGATGATGGAAGTGCTCGAGAGATGGTGGGTGAGACAGCCTCCTCTTGATTCGTGGGGCTGAAGGGAGTGGGAATCCTGGTAATTACAGAACTGAAATGACAGAGAGGGACAAGGGTACCTGGGTGAAATTGTGCCTGTCTGAGAGCTGGTGAACTACAAGGATCTGAAAAGGTGGTTATGCCTTTATTATAAACCATAACAATGATAATCGTTGGAATAATTGCTAGTTTCAGAAAGCAAGGAGAGGTAAGTGTCTCCAGAACAGTGTTGCCAACTCCTGCCGTACCTGTAATGTCATGCGGAGGTGGGCGGAGGGGGAATTTCATCCTCCCAGCTCAGTGGCATTTCTGATTGCCTTTGGGCCACAACACCAGTGGCTCCTTGGTACGAGCCATCCACCCACAGCCTTTGTCAGGAGGCGTGCAAGGTCACATCAGACACGTGAACAAGGAAACTCTGGCAACCTGCTGGCTGTGGAGGGCTGATGCCTGGGAGCCTCGGGATATGTCTCTGAAGCCACATCTTGTCTCCTTGCAGCCTGCTGGCACCCAGCTCTCCCCTCCACTGTGCTCTGATTGTGCTGAAGGCTTCCCAGAAGTGTCTACCTTGAGCCAGGCGGCACGGATGGCTGCAATGCTCTGCCACTGCTTGCTCTGCTGCATGTCAGCAAATGTCTTGCAAGTTGCTGAGACAAACTGGATGATTCTCTGTTTGCTTGGCAAGGGAGGAGCATCTTGTTCCCTCACTGGAGACCCATACTACACAGCCAGGCAACCCCTCTCCAGCATCTTCCCTAATACCAGGCAGGATTACTGGTGAAAAAAAGCAAAGATGGAGTTTGCAGTTCACAGTAGGAGGGGAGGTAAAGCTAATAGTTAAACAGAAAAGCCTGGAAGAGAGAGCAATTACAAAAACATAATGTCTAAATCTATGGGAATGTTAAACTGAGCTGGAGGGGATTTTAAACTGATTCCTAGCTGTTCTGGTGGGACCGGGAATGTGGTGCTAATAACCTTGTATCCATGTATGCACTCATGCATGCCCCTGGTGCCACCTCAGGGCAGAATAATTTCCTTCTTTCATTCTCAAAATATTTCTTCTCTGCTTTGTTTCCATGTAAATGAAACACTCCTGGGTGACATAGAAGTCATAACTTCTGTCATTCACAGTGTTTCTGGGTTTTACTATTCTTTGTTTCTTGTTTTACATTCCTTTATATCTTATTCCTGGTCATTTCCCCCAAGCCCAGATGACTACTGAAGACCTAAACACGTCTTTTTTTTTTTTTTTTTAAGAGACTTCTTTTCATAAAACGTACTAGCATACCACACATTTTGTTAAGCTTTATGGTCTCTAGTGCATTCTCAGCCTCTGACATAGAGCTTGTATATCATCTCTGGTTTCTTTAATTTAGAGGGACATGTGAAAATGATGGGGTTTGTGCAGACAGATAATGGAAATACACTGCTCCCCCCTATTCTCCAAATCAAATAGGGGGCCTTTCCAGGCATGCTTGGGCCATGAGGCACCTGTGACATGGAGCTTGGGCTCGGAGCACCAATGTTCTGTTAGGAATGCTGCATCAAGCCTGGCTCCTGCTTGAGCAGATAAGGATAAGTGGGCTGTTGCAGATTTGTGCTAAAGGGGTTTTGTGACTCAGGCTGGGTTTTTATGCAGCCTTTCTGTGCAAACCTTAAGGCTGGCCCCAGTGCAGCCCCCGCATCTGGGTGAGTCCTCTGGCCCCCACGAATCCTTCATCCAGCTCTTGGCCTCCCTGGAGAGAAGTACAAGCCTCCTCTGAGATGGAGTGTAACCTCATCAGAGCAACTGGCAGCCCGCAGCAGCAGCCAGGAGCCTTTCCTGAAACACGCCTGCAAATTGGCTGCAGAGAGCTGCTGGGATCAGGTTGGGCCTGTGGCCATTCCTGGGCTCGGGGGGGATTTTCAGAATGTTTCCACGTGGCAGAAGACAGCCTGTGCTTGTTTTTCTCCCCAGAGCCCTTGTCTCCCCTCAGTTGGCTTTTGCTAAAGTGATCTCTGTGAAGGCTGCAAAAGGGTTCGCTCCCCTTTGCACTGGGGCCCAGCAGATGATGTTTGTTGTTGCCAGCAACGTGCTCCTATGACAAAAGTGGCCAACAGCACCTAGGGCTGCGTTAGGAAGAGTATCACCAGCAGTCAGGAGCTGGCAACCTGTCCCTTCTGCTCAGCGCTGGTGAAATGAGGAGAGTACTGTGTCTGGTTCTGGGCTGCCAAATACAAGAGACACGGGCATACTGGAGCGAGTCCAGGGAAGGGCCATGAAGATTGGTGAAGTCTTGGAGCATCTGCCTTATGCAGAGGGGCTGGGAGATCTAGCTGATTCTCTTCAGAGCTGAGGCTTGAGCGAGGTAGTCTCCAGTGACCCCTTCCAGCATCCCCCTGCCTGACCCCTGCAGGGGCTCTGTGACCTGTGCTCATGCTGTCCTGCTGCTTTCCAGGTGTGATACGGACAGCCGTGGCCGACCTGGACCGGGAGACGCAGGACCGCTATGAGGTGGTGATCCGTGCGACGGACATGGCAGGACAGCTGGGTGGCCTGTCTGGATCCACCACAGTCACCATCGTAGTCACCGATGTCAATGACAACCCACCACGCTTCCCTCAGAGTAAGTCCTGACAGTGGTGGGGGGTGAGCACTGGCCCTCGTGCTGGCCCTGGCTCCGGCCCCTTGTGGGTGGTGGGACAGAAGCTCAGCTCCCAGCACAGCCTGGCACACGTCTGCAGGGTGAGCCGGCCCAGCTGCTCATCCTGCTTGCAGGATGACAATACCAAGGTACGGTAGCACGCACAGCTCCGTGCCTGGGTCTGAATGTGTCCCTGCCTGGCAGGGCGATGGAGGGGCAGCTGCCTTGGCTGAGCCTGTCTAGGACCCTGGACAAGACTCTGCTCCTGGTGCTAGTCCCGGGAGTGAGCAGGGCTGGGTGGTGGGGAGAGCAGAGCTGGCCCCTCTTCAAGCTGTGCTGGGGGAGAAGGCAGCCGGGTCTGTCGTGCTGTGGGAACTTGGGCTGGGACTCAGCTGCTGGCCTGGCCCCTTCTGGCTGCTGCATCAGCTTGGCACGCTCTGCCCCAGGGTGAGGTATAGTGACACTGCCCAGCTCAGACAGCAGCCTGCCTTTCCGTGTCGCTGCTAGTGGCCTGTGGCTCATGCTTGTGTCTAATCTGGGACCCTTCCCAAATGAGGAAGGTGGGTGATCCTGCTGCGAAGAGTGGGCTGTGCAGTCTCTGCAGTGCACACTAGCTGTGGAGACTGGCAGCGCAGAGAAGGTGCTGCAGCTGGAGGAGGCTCAGGTCTTGAGCTGCATCTCTTAAAAATTAGAAATGGTCAAGTCTGCAAAAAATCAGAGAATGCTGATTGCGGAGCAATCATGTCTATATAGAGAAATCAGCCTTTACTTCAGCTGGCACCTTGAGTGCTCCCCAGTTATCTTCCTTCGGCCCTTGTTTTTGGCTGGGGTATGTGTTTCTCCTGGTAGGGAATTCTGTACCATAGACACTGATAAAGTCTGGGCAGCCCTTGTAGCCCAAGGGTGGCCCCGGGGAGTCAAAGGGCTGTATCAGACTGGAGGAGGTTCAAAGGCAGAAGCAGTGACCCTAGTACCTTTTTCTCCTCTAGAGATGTATCAGTTCAGCATTGTTGAAACTGCCCCGGTGGGCACAGCCATTGGCAGGGTGAAGGCAGAGGACTCTGATGTTGGGGAGAACACGGACATGACATATCAGGTGAAGGATGAGGAAGGAGTGGAAATGTTCAAAGTCACCACGGACAGCAATACCCAAGAGGCTGTCATCACAGTACAGAAGGTGAGAGTTGAGGAAGGCTGGTTGGGTAGGGGAGGACCCTTTCCTTTGGAGATTCCTGCTGCTGCACTTGAGTTTAAATAAGTGCTTCTCTGAGTGCTGCTCTAGCAGTAGCAGTTGCATTTTTTTGCCTGCAGGTGCAGGGAGAGTCCTGCCTCTGTTCTGCCTGGATGGCAAAATGAAGACCTGTGTTTGGGAGGAAAGGCTGAAAAGGCAGCAGCACAGTGCCTGCTGGAGCCTGCACAGGGCAGCTGCCTGGTTGGCAGCAAAGCAACGAGCTGTGCATGGGTGAAGCCATGCATGGTGCTGGGGAGAGAGTGCTTACGGCTGTTATTGATAGCACGTGTTGGAGACACATGCCCACCTAATTCCTATACCTGACCAACAGTACTTTGACTGTATCTGCTTTGGTGGCAAAAACAATCAAGCAAACACTTGACATGGGCAAGAAAGAACAGATTGTTCACCAAGGCCACTTGATTCAGCTCACTTCCCCTGTAGAAATAATAGCAGGGTGATTAATGTTAAAAACCTGCTCATTTGCAGCACACACTGTGCTGTCTTCCCAGTGCATCCTGGCTGCCTGCAGCCTGGGGGTCCTGTTGGGGGCCCTGGGTGGAGCAGGCTGGAGCCTTCCTCTTCCTCCTGCCCCCTCAGTGCCAGAGGGCTGAGCACAAGCTCCTAGCCTCAGCAGAGGCACTGCCCGGGGGGAGAGTGGCATTAGTGCTGCCCTTGATGACTCCGGCGAAGGAAGGGGCAGCACAGGGGGCTTCTCAGGCTGGGTACGTCTAACCCTTTCCTGTTGTCCCAGCCTCTCGACTACGAGTCAAAAAAAGTGCACACTGTCATTGTGGAGGCCCTCAACAAGTTTGTGGACCCACGGTTCGTGGACCTTGGCACCTTTCGGGACCAGACCATCGTGCGGGTCTCAGTGCTGGACGTTGACGAGCCCCCGGAGTTCCGGCCCCCCTCCAACCTGATGGAGGTCCAGGAGGATGCGCATGTTGGCTCTGTCGTGGGGGTGGTCACCGCCCTTGACCCGGACACAGCGAACCACCCTGTCCGGTAAAGCACTTGCCTAAACCTCGCATCATATCCCTTCCAGCAGTGGACATGGGGTCACCTGCAAGGGACACGTGTGTCCTGGGGGCTTGTGGGCATGGCTGGGGCAGAGGGGAGGAGAGGCAGTGCAGGTGAAGGTGACGAGTGCTGCACGCATGGCCAAGTGTGTGTGTCCTGTGGAACAGGCAGCTGTCAGGTGAATGGCAGCCTGTGCACAAGAAACAGGCACGCAAGAGCAGCCGTCTCGTGGGTGACAGATACGTCACAGGCAAGTGATGGGTTTGTGAGTGGCAAGGGAGTGTCAGGGAAGGTGGCTGGGTGATGCTTGCATGTCCTTGCTGCTGACAGTGAGGCATCTGCAGTGGTGCCTGACACAGGCCAGACGAGTGACCAGAAATGACAGGAGGGCAGTGATGAAGGATGACAAACGAGGTGAGGCTTGGGAGATGCAGAGCCACAGCTTGGCTGTGTGTACGTGTGCACAGGGATCAAAGATCAGAGGAGTTTATATTTGGGCAGGGGACATAATCCAGGCAGCAGTTTATCTGCACAGGACATTTCCCATTTCCATTTAATTTGTGGCTAAAGAGATTGTTACCTTGTTAAATTGTTATTACCTAAGGCACAAAGCAGCCTTCTGGCTCTGCCAACTGGCCTGAGTCACGAGCAGTTGAGTTGGAAAGCTGGTGTTCAGAAAACATCCTCAATGTGTGGAAAATTTCCTTGAAATGTGTGTTCTTATGCCAGGTGATGGCAGGGCTGCAGGCACCTTGTGCACAGCTGCTTGCTTCAAATGAGCAACGGTGGTTTTGCGTTTGAGAGCTCTGTGGGGAGCCTGTCCCCAGGCAGTGATCATTCGGTACACAACAGGGTCAGGGATAAGGGATGGAGGAGGATGTGGCCAGGGAGGGCTTAGTTATGGTGCTGTTCCCCCTCCGTGATGTCCCTGCCTGGCTGCTTGGGGCGCTGAGCTCCAGTGCTGTGCAGCCTTGGAGAATGCACTGGTTGAAGCTGGGGTGGGGGATATCTCCTGGTCTTCATGGAAATGAAGACTGAGATGTTTAGAAAGCTCAGAAAAGAATTTACACATGGAAAACTGCCATCTACAGATGCCTGGCAGCTAGCAGGGAGTATTGCGTCACAAAGCTGGATGCTGAAAGTTGTCTTTGGGATGAATGTGAAGGGAATCAGCATTGGCGTGCCAGGAACTATGTGAATTGTTGCACCACTTGCACTAGTCCGTGCTGTCTGTTGGACATGTTCTCAAAGTACCTCCGCTCACCTTGTGTGGCTACCTCCTCCATTCAGACTACCTGTCTGATTTCTTTTTGTGGCCTGCTCTGAGCATGTGCCTGTTAGCTTGCACTCTTCAGATGCGTGCAGTCTTTCTACACATCTGTGTGTGTCTACATATGTGCATGTGCTTTTTCACTTGACTGTTTCTAGCAGTGCTACAGAACATGGATTTTTATTTTCTGATCTGTAATTGTAGAAAAGGGGCCTTGGGGACAGAACTATTCTTATTCTGTTTTTTTCTTGTTCTTTGTTCTGCTTCCCTGTGGAGCTTGTTGCATTGTTTGCAGACAGAACAAAAGCAAGCAGTGGAGGGAGGCTTTCTACTGCTGTGCAGAAGGTGATGGAGAGGAGACTTGGAGTAGAGAAGCAGATTCGAGTACTCTGCAGGAGCAAGAGGGTTAGAGCCCAAATTTTGCTATGTGAGTGTCTGTCTTATAGTGAGCTTTGTGCCAGGCAAGGCAATGCCTCATGTTCAGGTACAAGGGCCCAGCTAAGAGGACTTACAGGCGCCTGCTGCAGCTTGGGAATTACAGTGTGTTTTCCCCTGTCAGGCTTGATGCATTCAGATATGTGTTTTCCCTCCAGCAATCCCTGCTGGAGCTCATCCTTCATCCGTCATGCTCCCCTGTGGCATTTGGTCGCTATCTGTCCATCTCCTCGTGCCCCTCTGCTCTTGCAGTGCCTGCTGTCAGGAACAGCATCAGCTCCGTACCCCTGTGTTGCTCCCGTGGTGCTTGCCTGGGGAATGCAGGTGGGTGAGCCTTCCCTGCCTTTTTAACTGTACCAAGTGGAGATGCAGGTTTATATTGGTCACACTGATGTGGCACCAATGCAGGAGAAAGGTGCTGTTGGATCTTTCCTCCTGTCCTTTAGCTAGCCAGGTAATTCAGTAAAATACTTTGCCACATAGGCAGCTGCTCACAGCTTCAAAGCAGTGCCCAAACATTAAAGCAAGCGTCCTGCATGCTGCAGTACCCTGCCAGGATGTGACACTAACCCATCAGCAGGAGATGGCAGTAAGTCACGGAGCATTTCAAGTGTGCTACTCCGAAGTACAGTCACAAGAAGCCAGCACTTGTACTTCACCTCTGATACATTAGAGAGCAACTGATCCTGACAGCATGACCAGTATTTGATCCTCGGCTCCTTGAAGTTGGTGTGAACCCTTTCAAGTTGCTGCAGTTCAGTGGATCCCTTTAACTTCCTGATCCTCGTCTGCTAGAGATGGGAGCGAAGACACGGCTCTGCTTCTGCAGTGGATGCTGTCTCCTGGACTCTAGTCTGGGTGTTGGCTCTGCCCTGTAAATAGGGGAGAGCCCCAACCTTCTGTCATGACGAGATGACTCTCCCCTCGACAGGAAAGAACAAGGATTGCTAGAGACAACAGAGCAAAAATTAGCTCTGTCAGCGTTTCCAGGTCCTGCTGACACCAGGCTGCCAATAACAAGGTTTGGGAAGTATTTTTAGCCAAATGGGAAAGGAGATGCCCTTGGCTCTTTGTTTGCATCCCCAGGCCAGCACAAACAGGGCTGTGCAGCTCCTGCTGCACCATCCAGCCCGAAGCAGCTGCTGGCAGCACATCTCAGCCTTCCCTTCCCCTGCCCTCCTGGGATTCACTCGCCCCGTGAGGATGTGGCCACTTGGCATGAGAACAAAGCCCTTCTAGACAAGCCGGGCTGGGTTGCCAAGTGACCTGTTCTGAAGACATGAGGGTTGAAGGAGCATCCGACTCCCCTGTTCTTGGGAGGTGTCCATGAGGCACTGGTCCATGCCCCCCTCCCAGCTACATATGGATGTAGAGTCCCTGGCAGCCGCTTGACCGGGTGGGAGGAAAACTGGGGCTTAGGGTGCCCAAAGAGCACCCCCATCTCTCTGGGTGAGCAGCCCCAGCTTGTGCCTGCTCAGAGGGACACCGTCCCTCCAGAGCCGATGCTGCGGAGCAGGGAGTCATGCTGAAGGTCGCCACGGCAGAGGGGCTGCACACATCCTCAGGGGCAACGTGAAAACCTGCTGTAGTACAGGCGGGAAGTGCCTTTCTAAAGGACTGGTGCATTTTATTTTATTTCATCCTGGTTTGTTGCCTAACAAAAGCTGGAACCACTCTTTTTTCAGAAAGAGTTTAGTTTCCAGTTGGCTTTTTGGATTTACCTGTACAATTCCTGGGTGTAGTGCAATTTTTCTTAGCTGAGCCATTGTATGAGGTAATACAGTGATAGACTGTCTGTGTATGTGAGGCTGTTTGTATGGGAGCCTTTTGTTTTTCTCTCTGCAGTGGGAGCCTGTGTTCTGATTGTGTGCATTCCAGGCTTTATCAGCACTGGGAAGATGTTGCTTGGGATTTAAGGTTCTCAGAGATATTCTTGTTTGGCATTCAGTAAATCTGGAGACACGTGTTGGACATGGGCATTTTATAAACTCCAACAGCACAGCAAGAGCTACAACCTGCTTCAACACAAAAGGGAGAGGAGGAAAAAAAACAAACACAACAAAAAGCTTTTCACACAGTGTTTGAAAAGCTCCCTATTAACAAAACACATGGCATAAAATGTGCTCCTTGTTGCATTCAGGGGGAGAAGTGAAACAAACTGCTTGAGAAATGCATTCACAAGAAAGATGAGCACCAAGAAAGCTGTCTAAATTAAACAGTCACTTGTAACATCCAAACCAACAGGCAGTGCCAGCAGGAAGAGAGGAAAATGGATTACAAGGTCCGCATACCAATCAGAGCTGGGGACTGCAGTTCCAGATACGGAGCAGCAGCCAGCTTTAGGAGGAGTGAGCATATGTCCTATCTCTGGGTATCTGGAGGACCCAGGGATTAATTGCTGCCTCCCAGGTGAGAAGCACCATTTGACATCAGTGAGATGGATGAATATGAAGCTGAACTACCAGAGGTGGAGAGGCTTGTGATGGTCAGCACAGACTTTGGTAGGTAAAGATCATTCATATTGCGAAAAATGATGTAAACTAAGCACAGCAGGTAGTTTCTCATTCTAGCTGCTCTAGCACAGGGTTAGCCAAAAGTTCTTGGAAGGGGAAGTTTGTCATTGTATAGAGCAGTGTGGAGCAGGTTGATCTGCAGCTCTGGGTGGGTTATGGCTGTGGCTTTGTTGGGGCAGATAGACATCCCCAGCTCCAGAGCCTCTGCAGCACTTTGCTCAGATGGAGAGCTACAAACACACCTGGACTGGCCACCTCCAAAATCAGTATGTAGAAGCAGGCTGAGCCCTGCTTTCATGGCCAATGCAGACAATGCTCAGAGCTGTCCCCTTTCCCTGGCACAGTGCTGAGAAGGTGGCAGCTCTGTGTGGTGGTGGTGACAAAGGGATGAGGTTTCTGGTTTTGTCTATGCCCTGCCATAGTGTACAGGCAGTCAGTCCTCAGCAGACAATTCGGAAGTGACAGAAGACAACCTTAGTAGCAAAACAATTAAAAGCCTAAGAAAAGGTTACCAGTGGAATGACACAGAGCGCTCCCCTGCCAGCCTCCTGCCCTCTGGCCATGCAGGCAGCCAGTGTCAGATGTCTCCAGGCTCAGTAATGTCTCCCATCAATAACTGGGTTTTTCTGTGTAGCCATTTTTTGCAGACATCTCTGTTTATGCAGCAATGACACGAGCGTGAACAAAACAGGCATGTGCTTACCTGAGAAACAGGGAAGGCATATGGAGAGTGAAGTACCATCCTGAACTCTTAACAGTATTAAAGAGTGGAATGGAAGACAGGATGTGTTTGAGGTCAGGTGATGTGGGAGAACAGTGGAAGAAGTTATGCAAATGCATCAGTTATGCTATTGGAAAGATATTAGGTGTTACCCTGGTTTCTGTTCCTCCTTCCAGCAGTACGTTGGACCGACGTGTCCAAGTCACAGTGGCCAGACCTCTCATTTCCCTTTGCAGTGAGTGAGCACAAAGTGGATGAGAGGCTGCAGTACATGTTAGCACTGTCACCGTCCCTTCTGGAGCTGGCTACGTGCCTGTAAGAGGCTCTGTTTCCAGCTAGGAGTTGGGACAGAAAATGCAGGATGGCTAGAAAGTCCCTGGCAGTTGGTTCAGAGACGCCTAGGCTTGTATCTGGCTTTGTGTGGTAGATCCCCATCGCCTCTAGATGCAAGGAGGGGGGGAGGAAGCCAGCCACATAGGCACAGTATGTACTAGATTGTGCATGCACACAGATGCAATTTAGATAGTGATTTTTTTGAACATTTTCCCTTAACTAGAAGCAAGTGTCGTTGTATTTTGTGTCTCATCTCCCTGTCTGTCTGAAAGAGAGCTAGGGAACATAGTCTGGTGCTGTATAAGACTTTAAACAGCATAGACCTGCCTTTGAATGTGCCTCCATCAGAGACACAGCTGGAGCTGTCTGGATAGGTGCCCCGCAGGAGGCACGCTCCTCTGCAGCTGGTTCCCCCACCAGGCATGGGGCAGAAAAGCATGGAGGCCATCTGTGTCTGTAGAGTGGTCATCCTTGCATGCAGAAGGTGAGCTGGTGTTCCCTGGCTGAGCCACAGACCACAGCTGGACTGTGCCAGGCGAGATGCAAGCACTTGGGAACGCTGCTCTGCGGCGTGTGGAGCACCTCCTCCATCCTGCACATGCCTCTAGCCCAGAGCCCATCCTACACTGCTCCTCTTGTCTGACGTGGCCTCTCAGTACTGTCCTGTCTTGCCAGCTTTCCAGCTTGCTTTTGTCCCTACATTTGTCTTCCTTCTGTTGTTGGACATGTGACTGAAGGCTTTAATTTATTCACAGCCCTCCTTTTAGTAATTTATCCTTTGTACTCTTTGCTGTGTTGTATTATTTAATTCCGTAAAGCACCCTGGGATGCAGTGTGTATGAAAGATGCTGCACACAATAACATTATGCTCTATTGTTTGTGATTTGTAGGCTTTCTGGATTTATAATTCTGATTGCAGTGGTGATTATTATTTGTGTTATGGCTGTGCTTGAGGGTCTCAGCTGGATCGGGCTTCCCTTCCAGTCCCTTCCCCAAGGAGCACACATCTAAATGTGCCCTGGTTTAACGTGAGCTTTCTTTATTCTGTGTGTAATGTGTGTAATGGTTGAAACTGCAGGACGTGCCACTGGGACTGATTGTGTGGGCTCATGGTGTCATGGCTGAGGCACAGGGCTAAACCCAGATGTGACCCTTCTCATGAGCTGTGGAGTTTTCTTTCAGGAAGAGGTGGAAGTCATGCTTTCCAGAGGTGGCACAGGGAGCAAGTGGGATGTTGATGGGGTGCCCAGGGAGGGGGCTATTTTGGGGCAGCACTGGAGCAACTGAAGGAGGAGGGATTGTGAAGGAGAGCTGCATGTGATAGGTCTCTGCTGAGCAACTGGAGCTCTTCAGTCTGCTCCTGTGAAACTGATTTGCCCAAACTAGGGCAAATCTCAGGGTTGCTGGGGATGATGTGCTGTGTTGATTGCGGGGTTGCTGGCCATTGCCCGCCTCTCTGCTGCCAGGGTTCTTGCTCCAGTTGCACAGGTTCAGGCTGGGTTCAGAGGAGACCTTGCTGTTTGTAACTGCTGAGCTGTGGTTCGGTTATCGGCAGGTCTGGCTCGCAGCCTGCCCCTGCGCTGTCCTCCAGGCCTCTCACTTGGGTGGGTGCTGTGGCATCAGGAGAGAGGGGGGTAGGTAAGGTGGGCTCCTCAAGCAGCGGTGCCCCCCTTTGGTTTGGGTTGCTGTTTTTCCTGAACTCCTGAAGCTCAGAAGCTTCCCAGAGTCATGAGTAGAGTTACAGGCCATATTTCTATATCGCTCTGTCTATCCCGAGCATAAGGTCCCCATCAGAGCAGGTTTTTCCCCTTGTCCACAACCTGTGTTTAGTTCCACTTTATGCACCAAAAGCCACATCTTAATTTTACTTGAGGGGTCTGGGCTTGCATCCTGGAAGAAACATAGCCTTCATGTACCATGCTGCAGCAGAGAAGAAGTGAGAGCAGTGATACAGGGCCTGATGCATTAGATCCCTATCCTCCTGGGGCTGATGGCATGGTTGGGCTTGGCACATCAGCCGTTCAGTTTACCCGTTTGCCTGGTCTCAGGTATGCCATCGACCGCAGCACAGATGCAGAGAGGATCTTTGACATCGATGCCAACACGGGTGCCATCATGACAGGAAAGGCCCTGGACCGGGAGACAGCAGGGTGGCACAACATCACCGTCCTGGCAATGGAAGCAGGTGAGTTGGAGTGCTGTGTGGAGCAGCCTGTGCTGGACTGGAGTGGGACAGAGGGGGAAGTATGGGCGCATTCACTGCACAGGTGACCAAGATCCGAGTGTTAATTAACACTGAAGTGAAAAAAAAAAAAAAAAAAATGCAGCAGCACTGAGTCTGACATCTCCCTAGACAACCTAAAAATACTCTTCCTGACTCGAGCGTTAATAAGGGAGCATGGTCGAATAGTATATTTGATGAACGCTAATCAAATTTGCGTTATCTATGCGCCAGCTCTGCCAGTCATCCCTGTGCAGCTCACTCCTGCATTCACACCTGCTGAGCAGCTCTGGGGGCTCCCAGGGGGTTTGTGTTCATGTTACCTGTATCTCCCCAGTTCAGCCATGTGCTGTGGGTGGCTGCCCCCGCAACTGGAGCCCTGTGGCACAGGCGGCTGCCAGCGCTTGCTTCTGCTGGGGCTCTCGGTGGTTGGGATTTGCAGGCTGTACCTGTACACTGGGTTTGTGGCTCTGGATGCCTCCCATGCCCTTCCTCCTTGGTCTCCTCGCCCTTTGTGTGGCTGCTGGCTTGTCAAGGCACAGTGATGAGTGGACGGGAAGTCCCAGCACTGCAGCGGTGGGAAGAGGCTGCAGGGACAGTGTCCCTGAGCCCCCGTGCTGGGGATGGGGAGCAGCAGTGCTGCCAGGGTTGGTACTGTCAGGTTGCTTTGGCTCTGGCCACACTGCTTGGCCTCACCCTGCAGCCCACCGGGAAGAGTGTTAGGCAGAGGGTGAGGTGAAGCTCTTTTATTCTCTTATGAAATTATCTCCTTTCTGACCCTCTGAGAGCCCTGGTGATGGTCTCTTCCTTCCCTTGTGTCTGTGCAATCCTTTAGCCTGTATTTAGAGTAACTGCCAAATCTGCTCACACCCAGCTGGGAGAGGCAGGAGGGAACAGCTTAGTGGCTCTGCAGGTTTTGTTTATCTTTGCTCCGCGTGATGGGGGTGGCGGAGCCTGGCGTGGATGCTTCCAGCAGAAGTTTGGTTTGTCTTTTATTCTCCACTTAAGAAAGAAAAGAACAAATCTGGGTCCTGCTGCTCAAAGGAGCTCTGAATAAACTCCTCTTGGGGAATGAAAAGAAAATAATAGTAGCAAAGGGCAGGCTTTGCATCCCTGCAGGTGTTCTGCTGTGAGTATGAAGCTGCCTTGGGCATCCTGCTGCCCTCTGCCATGTTTGCACAGTGCCTTGGCTCACGGGCTCTGCATGTCCTCTGTGCGATGGTGGATCTGGCCCTGTGGGCCCCAGGGAGTGCTCGATGTTCCTCCTTTTTCTGAGCATGAAGATGGAGAAGAGGCTTCAATCCCAGGCACCGTGCTGGGAAGCAGAAAGGCATTGCCATATTCTTCAAAGCTTTCCACGTTTTGGATGTGCAGTTTGCCAGGACAGCCTGGGACCTGTTGTGATCTGCCACCCCATGACAGCTGGTACCAGGGAGCTGCTTTGGCTGCAAAGCACCTTCTGACATCTGCAGACATGCACCAAGACCTGTCCGCCTGTGGGCGGGAGCCTTCTCCAGGCTTTGCTCCAAAGGATCTCTCAGGAGTTCTGGTTCTTGTTTCTTTACTTGTTCTTGAGCAGGAAGACGTCGCTCGTGTTTAAGGAGCCAGGTCGAGGACTGACGTGGGGCCCAGAGATCGGTTCCTGCTGTGGGGCCACCCTTCTGTGGCAGCAGCCATCCGCCCCGGCCAGGCAACGGCACAGACCCCGCTGCCCCAGGAGAGAAGGCAGCGGCCCTGGCCAGACCCCCATTGCCCTGGGGGGATGTCTCTGCCTCTGCTGCATGTCCCAAGCCCCTCTCTGTGCTGATGCTTCACGTCTGCCATCCCGGTGCTGTCGTGAGCCCTGCCCGGCAGCGGGCAGTGATGGGCAGGCGTGCCGGCGCTGCCCAGCTGCACCGGAGGGAGGGTACCCCCCGCAGAGCCGTGGCACGTCCTGGGGGCTCTGCACGGAGGCTCTGCCAGCGGTGGCCAGGGAGGAGGGGATCGTGGCATTGCAGCACAACTTGGCATCCAGAGGAGACACGAGGTGACAAGAATCAGAAGGACAGTATTTACACGCAGCGGCTAGGATTTCAGAACAAGTCAGTAAATGCTGTGGCTCCCCTCCAGCAGGGAAGCCTGTCAGGCTGGATTGCTTCAAAAGCCGGGGAGACTCTTCAGCGCTCTGACTTCTCCCGTGGTGAGCTCTGACTCATCCTTTTTAACTGCCCAGACATTCTTCCCAGTGACATTATCCTTAACGTTTTGTAATCATGAAATATTAATGACTGATATTGAATTTAAAGTACAATTTATGTCTGAATCCTCTAGCGGAAAGGGCAGTTGTAAAGGTACAGCCTTCCAAGTGACAGAGGGGTTTTGGAGTGGGGCCATGCAGCAGTTGTCAGGCCGTGCCTGGTGCAGCAGGACCAGCAGCGTGAGCACAGGGCGGCCGGGAGCCTTTGTGCTGGCCCTAGCCCATGGTAGTTGCTGGCACAGCAGTGCCTGGGCGCGGGGCCCTGCCAGCTCCCCTGGCGCGTTTGCTGCGGCTGTGCAGGCTGCAGCTGGCTGCCGCGGGATCTGCCGCACAGACGGGTAGGACATCATCAACTCCAGTGGAGGCAAGTGGTAAAATATTCCTCCTCTTTCCTCAGCGAGATGTAAGCTTTGCAGAAGGAACAGAGAGCAAGCCCACCAGCCATCCTACTGCCCCGGCTGGTGGGACGCCATGCCGGCTTGACCCCCGTGGCGCGGTGCCCGCTCAATTCCCGCAGCTCACAGGCACGCGTCCTGGAGCGTGCTGCACCAAGGGCTTGCCTTCCCTGTCTGCAGGCAGGACTGTCCTGCGAAAGGTTTAACAAACAGCAGCTGATGGGAAGCATTCCGGCAGGCAGCCTGGCTGTGAGGTTTGAGCAGCTCGATACAAGGGCTGGGAGAGCCCTGCCTGGGATCTGGTGCTGCTGCAGCAAAGACCGTGTCCAGGGGTGCACGCCCTACCTTCAGATAACCCAAGAGAGTGTATTTGCGTCTGAGGAGCAGTAAGAAAAGCTGCAAAAGATGCCTGGCTGCACCCGAGGAGCTGGCTGGGCTGCCTGCTGGTGCTGAGAGGAGGGGGTAGCAGGTCTCCCCCCACAGAACAGGCACTCCCCAGCATGAGCTGCCTTGGCTGGCTGGTGACCGGCAGAATATTTGGCCTTGCAGTGTGGCAGCCAGCAGGAAGCATGGGGGCTGTTCAGCAAATCTGGCCTGGGACCAGGCCAAGCGTTTCCAGAGATAAATCTTCATCTTGCTCACAAGCTGTTTACCTTCCTTGGGCTAATATTAGTGATTCTCTTCCTGTTTTCCTCTTTGCTCATGTAAAATGATGAGGCCTTGACTGCTGTGTCCACTGCTGGTAATTGAGATGATAAATCTTCCTGCTGGAGACTGGCTTTAATCAGAGCATTGTGTTTGGATGCGATTTAATGACTCTCATGCTGCTGAGTTTGGGCAGGACTCGGGAGAGGTGAGAGCCATTTATATGTTACTTGGCTTAACTGCTGCTTCCGCTTTGCTCCTCCTCAGCTGGGAGCCACGTTTTCAGCTCCAGCCTCTGATGTAGCTGCCTGTGTCCGATGAGCCATACCCCTGGCATGCCCCTTCTTTGTCCTTGCCATCAGCACTCCACTTTGCAGCCAGGCAGCTGCACTGACATCTACAAAAACACCCTGTGCCTCACAGCCGTGGCATGAGAGCTGGAAAGCAGCTGGCCCGTCCCAGTCTTCTATTCCGCATTTTGTTCTCCCAGTTTGAGATGGTGAGGAATAAATTCCACTCCTGCCTCTTCTGGCTTTCCTACTAATGTAAAAACTTTGAATTCGATATTGTACCAATTTGGTCTTGACACAGAAGAAAGTGGGATGTACACTGTGCCCAACAGTGACCGTGAGCCGTGTTTTCCCCAGGTGCTGCAGCTCCAGACAGCAGCCCACAGTCCTTGGGGCTTTCCTTAAACTGTGCTTCAGACCCTGGGAAGCTGCAGAGCACCCTTCTGCGTGGGATAGCGCTGCGTGGCTGTGTACTGGCAGGAGTGCAATGGTGTGTGTGCTTCAGCAGTGGTTGGATTTGGAGCTTCACATTAGAGGCTTGGGTGCAAAAGTGCAAAGTGCTTTGTTACTGTGAGATTGTGTGAGGGTCTGGAGGTGCAAGGACTGGATCCCAGCACAGCAGTAACCACAGATCCCCTCTTTTCTGGCTGTGGCAGGGGTGGCCAGACATCTTTGCAATCCCTTCCCAGCACTGATCTGCTGCTGCAAAGCTTCCAGCATTTGAGAGCAGTGGTCCAGAGCTGCTCAGCATCAGTCCTGCAGGCTGTCGGCTGTCCAGAACCTGGGGAGAGGGCGAGTCGTTGGCGTTTCGCATCTGAATGTTTGAGACAAGAATACTGTCCTGTTCAGATTGCTTTCATGATTAATTAAATTAAGAAAAACATGCTTTGGGATGTGGCTGAAGATTCAGCCAGAACCTTAGAGTCTCTGCCTCAGTGTGGTGGTGCAGCTGGGCTGTGGCTTCCCCTGCTCCGAAGCCAGGGGGGTGCTGCCCATCGCTGCCCCGAGCAGCTCCCCGGCACGTGGGGTCCGAGCCGTGCTCGCCGCGCGTCCTCCGCTGTGCTGGTCGTGGCATTGAGGGAAGTGCAGAGGTGGCACGCTGGCAGTGACGGGCAGAGCTCTGTCCCCTACCCCACCGGGCTCCAGCAGCTCTGAAATAATTCAGCCCGTGTTGGCAAAGGCAGCTGCCAGGCATCAGCCTGGAGCTCCCGTACTACACTGCTGTGTTCCCAGCATCTCCCCCTTGTTCTATGCATTTTCCATGTCTCTTTCCTCAGTCTTTTCAGATTAATAGCATTCCAACTCCTGAAGGAAATGCAGAAAAACGGCATGTTTAATTTTAATTTAGGAAAGCGTTTAGGTAGCAGCCTAGTTTCCTCGCTGCTGTCAATCAGGTTTTCTCAAGGCTGACATCAATTAGTTTAAAAATATTGAATGTAATTTTGCCTGACACAACATATTGCAGCCACTGCAAAATATAATTTATTTTAGAAGAAGAAATAATTAAACTAATTTGCATGTCAGTCAGCTGAGCTGGAATACTGAGGAGAGATGCTGCAATGGAAGATGACTTTTTTCCTCCCCAGTCGCACTCAGCCTGGCATGTGCAACCCTCCACTCCAGCCCCTGCCCGGGTGCTGCTTGGCAGAGCCCTTCAAGGGCACGTTTCTGCACCTTCCCCCAGCCCTCATCCACCCAGTCTGCTGTTCTTCCTGGCAGTGGCATGTGCCTGCTCAGCCTTCGCTTCCGTGTGCTGGAGCAGGCGTGGGGGTGCGTGTGTGCATTTCTGTGCATCTACAGGAACCACGGGTGAGAGCTTTTGCCCTTGCAGACATGGAGTCTGCATTAGTTAGGCGCATCGTGCCTTTCATCACAGATGTACTCCAACAATCTTAATCACACTTCTGACCATCATAAATTTAGTTTATGCCACATAGTTACAGAAAACATATTTCAGAGATATTTTGGAGATAACTTTTTTCAAATACATCCAACCATTTTTCCTATTTTCCACCCATAAATCCAGGTACTGGCTCAAAGGAAGAGGGAGGTTGATAAAAAAGCATTTGAAGAACCTTCAAATAGATCACGGAACAGGCACAATAAAATGAAGCCAATGTGTGCCTCGCTGGAAGAACAGACAACGATGCAATGGTTGCACTTCTAACCTTGATGTTCCTGGAGACGTCAAATTTTAACCCTGTCACTGAGCCAGGAGTAAGCGTGAGCCTCAGGCTTCAGCAATTTTGGAAGGGGCAAAAGGAGAGCTTTTTTATGACAGGGTGCATTCAGAAAGGACAACCGTGCTTTGAGCTGTGCTCAGGGGAGCAGGGTGTTAGTTATGGCTCTGGCAGAGGGGTCGGCGCGGGTGCTCGGCACTGTGCCATGGTGCATGGATGACTCCACTCGCGTGCACGGCATAAAACACTCCTGGCAGCTGCTGGCTGATGCTGTGGAAGAGGACAGGCCTGTGGTCATGCCCAGCTCTAAATATGCTGATCACATCTCTCCTTCTGAGGCTGCAAGAGGTGATCTTTGAAGGGAAGCTGCCGTGCTCAGTCTCACCCAGGTGTCCCGGCCAGGCTCCACAGAGCCTCTGTGGCACAGGCTGTGCCGAGGGGTCTTGGGGAGAGCTCGGCAGCACTGGGATCGGCTCCTGCTCCCAGCCCGCTCGGGCACCGGCAGAGGAACTGCTCCTCCAGGTCACGGTTAGGAAGGGAAAGAGATGGCATCCTGGGCTCTTCTTCCTTTCTTCTCTTTCCACCTTTCCTCATCTTCCTCTCAGTAGTGCCTCCAGAGCAATGCCAGCTTGCTTCAGAGCCAAGCAGCAGGGACAGTTGTCCATCTTCCTGCAGGTTGAGGAGACAGGGATGTGATGCCATCATCCTCCTTGCAGGAATGGAACTCTTTTTCCTCCTGCTCGGTTGTGACCCCAATGGGCATCAGGCACACCCCTCTGCCTCCCCCTGGCTCCCTTCCCGCCCTGCTGCCGCCCCCTTCCTCTCTTCCCTGAAAGCAATTGCAGTTTATTTCACTGCACCAACACACCTTTTAAAATAACACATAGTTCCAGGCTTTTAGTCACGACTTCTGCCTCCCTCCCCCGAAAACAACCATCTAATCACCAGAGCAGCTGGTCTGGGTGAGAGGGAGTGATAACGCGAGAACAGGGTGAAGGCAGCTCTGGGGAGGGGGCTTAGGTTCCTGGCTAATTATGGAGCAGGGCTAAATCTCCTCTCCCCTGGGTCCTCCCCCACCTGATCTGTGGGGGCTAGCATTAATTTTATAGACAAACAAGCAGCAGAGCTCCTGCCCAAGCGAGGAGAGAAGCATCGGGTCTGTCACAGTTGCAACCTCTGGGTAAAACAAAGGAGATGGAGTATGAGGGAGTTCTCGTTTCTGGAAGCGCATGAGGTGCTTCAGAAAACATTAGGCTCTCCAGAGTGATTTATAATCTTATAGCGAGGGCTCAATGTACCTTTGCGGTGCGTGCGTGGGGTAGAGCAGCACTGCAGCCAATGGAGCTGTAAATGTGATCCCTGCCCCGTGTGCGGAGTGAGCCCAGAGCAGTGCCGGCGGCTCCGTGCGCCCCAAGGGAGGGGAGCGGGCTGGGAGCCCCCCGGGACCGCTGCCTGCACGAGGCACAGGCTGGCGAGTGCGGGGCTGAAGGGCTGCCCGAGATCTTGCTGTGTGACCCCCTGCACCGGCGGGCAGATGGCAAAACCGGTGTGAGTGTGCGTGGCCCGGGTCCCGGGGCAGGAGCATCGCACCTTGACAGGGAGCGTTCAACCCCGGGCCACCCAGGTGCGGTGGGGGTGCACGGGGCAGATTTCATCACTGCCTCGTGCCCTTATTTGATCCCGGCCGCTTCGTGTCCCGGCTCTGCTCACTCACCTCTCAGCCATTGCTGCTACCCCCAGGGTCCGAGGGTCGGGATCCAAGTCAGGGCGTGCTGTTCTTGCATCTGAATTTGCTTGTCCCCTCCTGGCGCTGTCCAGCTGCAAGCACTGATACTGACCCTGATCGTGGGGACGTGCTCAGGGCTGCTCAGCTTTCTGGGGTAGATCAGGCCAACAGCAGCGTTTCGGGAGTCCTTGGTCCGCAACCCAGCGGTTGAGTTTCTGTACTGGAAAACAGGTGTAAGGAGGCCAAGCAACGCTCTGCAGGTGCTGCCGACCCGCAGTCTGTGCAATCCACTGTGCTGGCAGCAGCTCCACGGCCGCGATGGCCTCCGGTCGGACAGGCAAGGAGGGTTTGCTCCCTGGTAGCAGCAGATGGTACTTTCTGCTGAAGCTCCGCTGCTTTTTTTGTTTCAGACAATCACTCACAGGTGTCGAGATCTTCTCTCCGTATCCGTATCCTGGATGTGAACGACAACCCACCTGAGCTCGCCACCCCTTATGAAGCTGCTGTGTGTGAGGATGCCAAGCCAGGCCAGGTAGCGGGTGTCCACCAGCCCCTCTCCTGGGTCTCCCCCAGTGCCTGCAGAGGCCTCGTGCTGCGAGCAGCGCTCTGGACCAGTGCCAGCCTGCCCGCCCTTCCCCTCCTGCCAGAACGTCTTCCCATGCAGCTGCTGTCACACTGGGAGCCCCTTTGCTGATGTCCTACAGATAAGCCTGTCTGCAGGGGCAAAGGTTCATCCCCCGCTGTGGCAGAAGCTCGTGGTGCTCTGATGGGCTGGACCCCCCAAGAGGGGCCCGTGGGGAGGGGCAGCACTGATTCTCACCTCTGCTTTCTCCCCACAGCTGATCCAGACAATAAGCGTTGTGGACCGTGATGAGCCCCAGAGTGGCCATCGTTTCTACTTCACACTGGCACCTGAAGCCACCAACAACCACCATTTTTCTCTGCTGGATATTAAGGGTAAGTCCTGCTGCACCCTTCCCAGTCCTGCAGCCTCTGGGCTGGCCATGGGAGGGAGATGGGGCTGTGGGTCCATCTGTGCCGAATGGAGCTCAGGGTGCTTTGAGCGCTCTGCAAAGGCTTCTTGCCAACCTGAAATGGTGGGACTGGTCAGCCAGCAGCTTGCGTTCCCTCAGGGAGGCTCTGTCAGCTTTGTGCTCTGCTGCAGACAGGTCTAAATCTCTTCTTGTGCTGTCTGGTTAGCCTTCAGTGTTTTCGGGGCTCTTGGTCCCTTTCTTGATGTGAAACCTCCAACCTGCCTGCAGGCAAGGAGATGATGTGGATTTACAGATAAACACGCTCATGTTTTGTGCGTTATGATTTATCCCTCTCCAAGGTAATCCTGGAGTGTGGGTCATCCCGGGGCTGCCGTGCAGGTGGGCAGGCCCTGTGCCCCCGACAAACGGGAGCAGCTCGGGAGTCCTGGGAGGCAGCAGGGCTGTGCAGCGGCCCTCGGCCGTTGCGGGCTACCTGGGATGTGGCCAGCGGAGCTGGATTCCCCGAAGGGTGGTGGCTCAGGAGCACGGTTCCTCTGCATCCCCTGAGGCTCATCCTGCCCTTTGGGAAACACGGCCGGGCAGGGCCCATCTGTTGCTCTGGGAAGCTCTGGGGTTCTCGGCACGTCTGGGCTGAGCAGCTCCCCATGACTCGATCCCCACCTGCTGCTGTAGCCGATGAGGTGTGATGCAGGTTTTGCTGGCTGAGCCCTGGCTGCTGTTTGGCTTTGCCGACTGCAAGGTTAGGCTGCGTTTGTGTGGACAATAACAATACAGAAAGGTAGTTATCGGGCTGCTTTCTGGTTTGGGCTGGTATTCTGGGTGAACTTAGGTACCGATTGCAACGATAGGTACAGCAGTGACTCTTGCAGATACTGGAATCTTCTCCAGCCACACGTGCACTTACTTATCAAAGGGCCCAGCTCAGATGGAAGCCAGTGGATCACATTAAAATGCTTCTTTGGTTTTTTTTTTTTTTTTTAAACCATGTTTTTCTCTGTTTTTCACAGCTTCCTCTGTCAAGGGTCTGATTGAGTTAGTTCTGAGCTTATCAGAGGAGCCTTCTGCTGATGTAAGATCCTTCTTGCTCAGTTTGGTTCAGCATTATTAGGGATAGTCAAAATGGAACTTGCAGCAAAAGGCTTCAGACATAATTGTAGGAGGATTGATACAGTCCTTTACGTCCTAAAAAGTGCAGCTGTCCCCAACCGAAGTGCTTCCCCCTGCACTCACGGGGCAGCTGTTCACAAGACCTTTGCTTCTTACCATGTAAGCGGGCTTTAATCCTCTGCAAGACTTTGTCCCGCACCCAGCAATTAATTTCCTTCACTTTCTCTGGAAGACCTTATGAAAATGTGCCCCAGTGCGCTGAGTTACACCCCAGTGCCCAGCCCCCCCCAGCCCCCTCCGAGGGGCCGGGGCTGCGCTCCCAGCTCTGAGCCGGGACGTTGGCTGTGTCTGGGCTGCGGCCCCAGAGCCGTCGCTGCTGCTCGGCCTGTCTGGGGGGAGGGACCCGGCCAGGGGTGGCTGGAGCTCAGCGGGGGCAGCGGTGCTGCCCCCCGTTTGTGCAGGTGGGGGTCACCAGCAGCGACCCAAGAGCTGGCACTGCAGGAGGGTTGGGACACAGGCTCGTGCACCGCCGTCTCCTCCAGAGCGGCTGCTCTCTTGAGTGGGACGAGGCTCTCGTTGCACAGGGTAATCCTCCGTGCTAAATGATCCCACAAACTTTGCATGTGGTGCAACACTGCATAAAATGAGTAAAAGCTGGCATCACCTCCCGCCTTCTGCTCTCAGGAAAACAAATGCTGTTGCTGCAGGGTTATTCCCAGGGTGTTTGGAGACCCTCCCGATTGCCAAGCAATGCTGTCTTCCACAGCAAGAGGAGGTGGCTGCCTGTGCAGATGGAGGCACCCCTCATTTCTAACGTGTGTGTGTTTTAGTGCCATCTCCCTTCCTCTGATCTCTCCCACCTTCCCCCCTTTCTCCAGTCTATTGAGCGCTCTGGGTGCGCTCACCTTCGCCCCTTGCTCTCATGAGTTCCCTTGCTGCATCCTTCTTTGTCCCCCTCCTTGCCTCACTCTAGTGTGTTCACCCCTCTTGCACTTGTCTCTACTCCTCCATATAAATTTCAGTGGTGACAAACTGCTACCACCAGCCCATCTGTTTCTTTGTACAAATTTGTAGCCAGTTTTGAAACGTGATTTATAAATATTGCTTTTGCAGCCAAGGAGTGACACTGATGGATGTCAGCACAGATGGATTCGCTAAGCTCTTAAATCCTCCTCTCTTTTGCTTTGCCCCTACTTCCCTCGGCTCCTGCAAGGCAGGAGAAAGCCACCTCGGGAGGGTGACTTGTCCTCAGCACGGCTGGGACGAGCGTCGGCTGGGGAATGCTCCCGTTACAGTCCATCGGGCCGGGCAAGAGCTCCGGCCGCGGCAGGGCTGGTAGGTGGGGAGCCCGGGCGGCTGCAGCCGGCGGCGAGCTGCTGCCGAGGGCCCGAGGGGGCTGTGGCACACAGGGGCTCCTAGTGGGCTGCTGGGGGGCGCGGGGGCAGCCGCTCGCGCAGGCACCTCGCCGGCGAAGCTGAGCCCGCCGGAGGCTGGGGAGGGAGCGGGAGCCATGGGAGGGCGAAGTGCAGAGCCCGGACACAGAGGCAGGAGCAGGGCCGAGCCGGGGAGCGCAGGAGAGGACGCCGAGCACTGCCCGGGCTCTTCCAGCGCTCCTCGTGGGCTGCGTGGAGGGAGCCTGCGAGGGCTTCAGGGAAAGCCCGGCGAGATTGACGGGACAGCGTCCATCAGAGGAAGAGCCTGTGGAGCTAGCTCCACTCTGCTAGTAAGTGGGCATATGGCCGTGGTCACAGGGCAGGTCTGGTACCGCCACGGTAGTCACGACACCACGTCTTGCGCAGACGCTGCTGGGTCAGGCCCGGCAGCAGGCAGAGCTGCAGGGAGCGGGGCTGGCCCCGCGGGGTGCCCGCGGTGAGCACCTACGGCCCCGCGCGCCGGCCCCCGCAGCACGCAGAGCTGCTCGCCCTGGTGCTCCGGGTCAGAGATACGGGAGCAAAAGGTGACCCTGCAGGAGACTCCGTTAGCTGAATTACAGTGGGTTTGCAGGAGCTAGGCTTTTGGAAACAGTGCCATTTCCTAGTGGTGTCTCTCTTCCCTTGCTTTTGCTCTGTCCAAGGGAGTGCTCGAGCACTTCCTAATTCTTCAGACAAGGAATAAATGTCATGTGTGGTAACAACAGCTGTGATCCAGAAGGAAGATGCCCAGCGAATGAAGTGCCTAAAGGAAGAGGTAGACTTGGAAAAGCTGTCCCCACCCGGGTCCAATTGGTGCCATTCCAAAGGCATTCACCATCCTCTGCCTCCTAACTTGCCTTTTGCTGGGTCTTTCTGGCCTGAGAAAATTGATTACAGAATGATCAAAGGCAATTAAAGCCTGAATTCATGTTCTCCAAGAAATGCTAATTGTGTTGGAAGGGATGTTAGAAAGCTTCTGAGCCCAGCAACCTGGAAGGGGTGCTACATAATATGGAGTGACACATGGAGCTGCTGACTCCAGAGCTCAAGGGCTAAGCAAGCAGATGTCTGAACTCTCTGCAGGTCTCATTAAGAGCATGTAATGGGTGATAGAAGATCTGAAAATCAGAACAATCAAAAGCAAAATGTTAGGATTCGACAATTGCCTCAGGATAGAGGAAGCCTACCCCAGCCCCGCAGGGATGCTGTTCTCAGCACGAGCTGCACAGAGGGTGATCTGACGGCGGGGTTGCAAAACAGCATTGAATCTCCATGGGGGCTGAGCAAAAGGCAAATGAAGCGCAGTGGTGCTGTGGCCCAGCACCCAGAGAACTTGGGAGAGGGAAGAGGCAAAAGGGAAAAATGGGTGACTTCTCCCAGCAGCTGCACCTGCCTGGGGCTGGAGCCGGGGGTCTGCTCCTTGGGGAAGCTCCAGCAGCAGCGTGGCTGCGGGCCCGGCCGGGAGCCCCGTGTGCGCCCCAGAGCCGGCGTGCCGGGGCACCCGGGCTGCAGAGCGGCTGCTGGGGAAGGGGCAGGCAGATGCTGGTGGGGCCCTGGGAGTGTGGGAGACAGCAGGGATATCAGAATCCAAACTGGAGGTAGCTTGCTTCCTCGCTCCCTTCTGCTCTCCTAAGCACTGTTCAAGACTCAGTTATGAGAAGGATTTATTATTTCTGTCTTTGAAGTTGACAAAAGCCTCTTTGGAGAAGGAGCCTGAGAGACAATTATTTTATTATTCCTAGTGATGTTATGCTACCACCAGAGTATATTGCGTTCCTAAACTTCCCTCTTATGGCAGCATTGGTGGGTCCCTGTGCACCCAACTCACGTTAGTTTCTGCCTTGTCTGGTGACTTGCTCCTCAAGCAGGCAGAGAAGCCGTCTCCTGTCTGTCGCACAAGGTGATGTGATGCAAAGCAGGATAACATCGCTGTGTGGCCGGGGAGGGGGTGGCATAGGAAACCTGCAGAGAAAATGTCAGTTTGTGTAGCAAGGCAGCAATGATAGTAAATGGTTTGGCTTGGGGCTTCTGAGAACACATGGTGTGACCGTAGCACAAAGTACAACCTCGCGAGGACTGGGTAGGAAAACTTAAGTGTGGAGATCCAAACTTGTCTGTGCAGGAAAGCTGTGGATTAAAGTCTGCATAAGTTTCTGTACCACCTCCTAGGAAACACCGCTTCTCAACTTCATGACCCCAAAAATGGACTTAGCAGAAAGCTGCTAAAGAGGAAGAGATACGAGAGGCTGCAGGGCCAAGCCTGCCTGGCTTTTCTTTGCAACGACTCCGGCTGTGCCGATACAAACAAATCTACACCAAGACACAGATCCTGAAGCAACTGCCTTGGGTCAGCTGCATGTAAAGGAACAACTGTACCAAGAGCAATTACATTGTTTTGTAGAAGGTTGCTTTAGATGCTTTTTCTGGGATACATTTTTCCAGATCTGGGAAAAATTTTCTTCATGTCTATGGTCAAACAGACTACACTGCACGGCAGCAGCACTGCTTTTTCTGCAGTATCTCAGAAGGGAACACAGAAGAAGTTTGCAAGTAACAGGGGTGTAAACAGCTGTCCCAGTGCCTGGAGGGGGCTGGTCTCTGCCAGACTGGGGTCTGGCTGTCCAGCCTTGGTGAGCAATGTCACAGCTGTAGATGTGAAATTTCTGTGGCTCCGCCTCCTGTAGGAAGTGCTCGTGTCACCCTGTTCAAGAGAGAAAATGTAGCTTCATGATGTTTGAAATAGTGTTTTGTAGTTGTGATTTTTGTCTCTCCCTAGCACTGAGTTTTGGGTTAGAGGGCAAGACCTCAGCCCCTTCCTGAGCTGAGGTTTCTCAGAGCAGACTTTATTTAAGTACTGGCTGCTTTATTTTGACGTTGTGGGTCCAGCAGTGAAAATATTTCTCCTTCCCGAACTTGGAGGTGTGAAGGGGCTCAGCAGTGCAATGCACTGTCTGAGCAGTCTCAGCTGAGCTGAGGTTAGTGACTGCCTCTCTGTGACTTGCACATGTACTTCGCCTTGATCTCTAGAGACTATTTCTAAAAATACAGGGTGCCTCGTGGCAAGTGCCTAACAGGAGCCGGAGCTGGCTGTAAACAGGGAGTCACCAGTTTTCTGCTGCATTTCCAGAGAGGTGAGGAGCTGGTGCCATGTCTGCATTTACTCAGGGCTAAAGGGATGCTCGGCTGGGAGAGCTCCCAAGCACAACAGTTCATTGGACCTGGGTCAGGGATGGACTGGGCAGCATGTGGAGGTCCAGGAATGTGTGCATGGGCATCCTCTGAGCCAGGATCCAACCACGAGCTGAAGCTGGTTGCTTGGCTGGTGCAGTGGTGCCAATGCAAGTGACCTTCCTGGGCCGAAGGCCAGAGCCCTGCTCGCTCACAGCAAGCTGGTCTGTCCCGTTTGTCCTGTGGCTTCATCTCCACAGGATCCAGATGCCCGAGGCTTATGTTTAGCTGGGCTAGCTATGAGTTAGTCCTGGCCTCTTGCTGAGATGGTGCCATTAATGTTATTTATATTTCCCCGCTATGCTACAGCAAGCTGAGGAAGCAGCACCAAATGAGATCTTGTTACCCTTGTGCAAATGATTAGCATAACAATAATTTTTTTTCCTAGCTCATCCTTGGTAGGCAACAGGCACCTTCTCAGCAGACTCCGCTGCCACACTTGCTTCAGCCTCCCTGCCGCTCAGGGGGCTGGGGCTTCCCTGCTCCTCCTGACAGCTCTGCCCAGTTGCCTCTGTGCTGGTGCCACGTGCTGCCCCAGGAGTCTCAGCTGCGGTGGCATGTGTCCTGCAGGACCAGGTGGTTGCCCAGGCAGAGGTCCCATGCTCCCTGCCTCGTGAACAGGAAAGCCAGACAATGTCTGTGGTGCAGAAAGATCGTGCTCTCCGCTGTGGTCAGTCCCCTCCGCAGGCTGGTGACACTGCAGCACTTGGATCACATCTGATTCGGAGTATGGGTCGGTGCTGGGCACCGCAGCCTTGCGGGTGGAGTGCTGACATTTCATTCAGTACCTCCCTTTCTGAGGTTAACTGTCCACATCGACTCGTACAAGCATTTGCCTTATTGCTGTCTCCTGCTCTGTGCTCCTGAGGATGTTGCCTGCCTGAAGTCTGCTGCCGCAAGCAGGGATGAGTGAGGTTACCTGGAAAACTCCTTTAATGGATAAAAGATGCTACATCCAAAGGAAGAGGGTTTTTTTTCTAGCGACCTGCAGCACAGTTCTATGTGCGTGAACAAGATCTGGTTTTGAATATCACCCTTGGGGCATTCAGTGCAGCCTCCAAATGTTGCTGGCGTGGTCTTCTCTCTGGTGTCCTTGTCTTTCCCGTGTCGAGCTCTTCAAGGCAGACCCGTGCTCTCAGGTGAACTGGAAGAGATTACTTTCTCCCCTACTCCTTTACCCAGCTCTCCCCAGCTAGGGTACCAAAGGCTCGGCTCTCTCCAGCAGTATGGCTGTATTCTGGCCATACAGAAACCTCTGGTGGGCTGAGTCCAGAAACCTGATGATCAGGAGCAGCAGTTTGGTATCAGGAGCAGCACCATGGCAGCTGAGCGCTGTTCTGGGCACAATCCCGTGCACTGCTGCCTCCCCTCTAGGCACAGACAGGCCGTCTTCCTCGCTCTTGCTGCACCAAGCCGTGCTTAGCTCCATCCCATGCTGAGCGGCTTCGCCTGCGCACACATGTCAGCACGGGGGGTACAGATTGCCCCAGCTCCTCCTCTTCCAGGCTGTCCCGAAGCAGAGGCCAGCCTTGCCCCTGCGTGGCCTTTGCTGCGGTGGTTGCAGCAGTCCCGTGGGCAGGTCGTCTGTGCCTCTTGCGCTGGCAGAACTGGGCGAGGAGGGCTCAGCACTGGGATCCTGCCAGGTTCTGCCCAAGCTGTGCTGCCCCCAGCCCTGAGCAGTTGGGTGGGTGATGGGCTCAGCGCTCTGCCCCGGCTGCTGCACGGCACCTCTGGGGTCTGCCCCACTTCCCATCTGGCTGGCGGATCTTCCCTGTCCCGCGGCTCAGCGTGTGCCTGCCCTGCTGCTCTGCTCTTGGCTCACCTCCTGTCCCCGCCGTGCCCCGTGTGCTCCCATGCAGCACCCGATCCATACGGCAATTTCCGTGATGGCAGGCAGCCCAAGAACCAGAATTAGAATAGATGACTTTTCCAATCGAAGAGCTGATTGATACAGAAAGGGGCCAGTCCACCATAAATCAGGTGCAATGAGGAGAGAGTCTGTAGACAGCAGCACCTTGCTGTGAGCGGGTCAATCTGCGTTTTATTAGATAAAGACTGCAGACAGTCGGCAGTGACTTCTGACATCTGGCCACAATGGTTCAGCTACTGTTCAATCCCTTCCTGCCCACTCTGCTGCTGGCTGGCAAGGCGTAGCACACACGAGCGGGGAGCTGAGCTGATTTGCAGTCCCTGTTCCTACCCTCCCTGCTCCGGGTTGTCTGGGTGCAGCTGCTGCTTGGGTTCATCTCTGGCACTGGGGTCCTGGAGGGGCCCATGAAGTGGCTGTGTTGATGGGATTGTAACGGTTTATGCTGTGCCAGCTGAGCCCCTGAAACAGAGAGTTGGAGCAGATGGGGAGAAGGACGGCTGGCTCAGCTTGGAGGCTTGCAAGGAGCTCTGCCTCCTCTTTCAGAAGCTACAGAGCATCCTAGGGTTATTCGACCCTCTGGCTGAGGCAGGACCTTTCACGCGCAGCTCTCGGGTTTGGAAGCAGTAACTGCTCTTGCAGGCTCAGTGCCACCTGCAGACACCCGTCCGCTCTGGTCTCCGTGTCAGCAACTGATTTGCATCCTGATTCCTGCTCAGTGCCACTCTCAGAGGGTCTTCTGGAAGGTTTTTTCCTTCTCTCTGCTCCGACTGCTTTGTTTGTCAGCATGGCTCAGACACCTGCATGCTGCTGCTCTCATGTTGGGTTCCCTGTGCCCTGGGCGCCGCTGGTGGGTGAAATGCCAGGCTGGCCCCGAGGTGCCCGGAGAAGGGGCATGTGCTGGAGCAGAGCTGGCCACCTCCTCAGGCTGCTGAGGGGCTGCGGTGCAGCGGAGCCACGAGCTGGCTCCCTGCTCCCCTGTGATGGAGAGGAGGGAGGACCCGTCCCGTCTTTGGGTGGTTGCTGGAGTTGGCACACAAACAACCACTGTTCATCTTGAGCGTGGAGGAATCCTGCTGGCCGTGCTATGGGAGTGACTTTGCTGTGGGTTTGCTTGTTCCCTGCAGACAACACGGCTGCGGTGCACACGCAGAGAATGGGCTTCAATCGCCAGGAGCAGGATGTGTACTTGCTCCCGATTTTGGTGGTGGACAGCGGCCCCCCAGCCCTCAGCAGCACCGGGACTCTGACCATCCGCATCTGTGGCTGTGACAGCAACGGGGCCATCCAGTCCTGCAACAGCACAGCCTACGTCGTGTCAGCTACGCTAAGCCCCGGCGCCCTCATCGCGCTGCTGGTGTGCATCCTCATTCTGGTTGGTGAGTGCCCGTCTGTCCCCCGGCCTCCTCCTGTCCTGTCCCGTCTCCTCTCTATCCAGCATCACACAAACGAGCTCAGGCAATTGCTGCGGGCACGGTGCAGGCTCCTCTGGCACCCCTCTCCTTGCTGGTAGCTGCAGCGTGGGGGCAGGAAGCTCAGCCCCTGCCAGCGAGGCACCACCGAGGAAGCTCCCACGCTTGCCCCAGCTCCCACGCGCTGGGCTCAGCAGGGCAGCCAGTGCAGGTCTCCCTGCGTGGAGACAGGCGTGCTGCAGACCGGTGGAGGCCGGAGAGCTGCTGGCTTGCTCCCCGCCTGGATGGGCGGGAGCCGAGAGCTGCTGCTGTGCCCACAGCAGGCATCTCGCTGCAGATGGGGCGTGTGTGCATCCCAGCGTGGTGGCCAGCGGAGGCAGGCGTGGGGTGCACGGCTGTGCGCTTACCTCAGGCGTGGAGCACGTGGTTGTGCCCTTGCCTTGGAGCGCTGGGAGGGTCAGCATCCAAGCGTGCGTGAGCACGTGGGCAGGACACAGGGCTGGGGCGCACGCAAAGCAGGGCATTTCCCAGGTCAGGACCTGCACCCCGGGAATGCTGCTGGCTGCCGCTGACACCCTGGCACAAGTTTGTGATGGGCTGCCACAGCACAGCGAGAAGGTGCAGGGGAAGCGTGGGCTCGTGTACACACGGGAGGGGGCTCTGAGAGCGGGGTGCTGAGGTGCCCTCAGGTTTAGCCTAGGGCAGCTGATGGACGCTGCTGCTGAACGCTGGCTCACAGCTGGCTCCCGAGGGCTGTCTGGACATCTGCGGAAGCCAGCGCCTTCTTCAGTGAAGTCTCCTCTCCTTGGCACACCTCTGCTCCCCGTCTCCTGCTGTGTCTCCGTTTAGAAAACCCTTTCCCACAGGGTGCACTTTACACTGGTTTCATTTTCCAACGCAGCGCAAACAAATTTCTGCCTAATTGCCCAAATGAATAAAGTGCACATCGGTGCTTTAAAGGTGATGGGATGAATGGATGATGATCCAGGACACAGCTGCAGCTCGTTGCTCAGGCTCTGTGCCATCTGCTCCACATTCACCCTCCCAACATTTGGCTGCTGCTGTGATTTATGCACCCCGCTTTTCCTACTCATCTTCTGCAGAATCCATCCGTTTGTCTGTCCAGCCGTGCATTCATCCATCTGTCCCTCCTGTCTCAGCGGTCGCGGTGCTTGGGAAAGGAAATTCCTGGTCTGCACTGGAGCCCGGGCAAACCGCTCTCCAAGCCAGTGACACAGCGCAGCTGGTACCTGATGAGCCTGGCCCACCGGCGGTCTGGGCTGCAGGGCTCCCCGTGCCAAAGGGTGCTGTGCCTCTGCGCCCTGCCGCCAGGCACGGGCTGTCCTCGGCCCCACGGGAGCGAGCGTGGCTTGCACAAGCTCCTGCACCCATCTGACCGTCTCTTCCTTTCCCAGTGCTGGTCCTTCTGATCCTCACGCTGAAGAGACACCACAAAAGCCACCTGACATCCGAGGATGATGAGGACATGAGGGACAATGTCATCAAATACAATGACGAAGGGGGTGGCGAGCAGGACACAGAGGCCTATGACATGTCAGCCCTGCGCAGTCTCTATGACTTCAGTGAAATCAAAGGTGGCGACGGGGGTGGGGGGCCGGGAGAGGGGGGCCTGAGTGGAAACCCAGCCTCAGAGCTCCATGCCCTCCCACAGTGGGTGCAGAGCCCAGACCTGGACTTCTCCGTGTTCAGAGACTACATCTGCAGGAAGGTGGAGCAGGCGGACAAGGACCTCTCCGTGCCGCCCTACGACTCGTTCCAGACCTACGCCTTCGAGGGCTCGGACTCCCCCGTGCCCTCCCTGAGCTCCATCAACACCTGGTCCAGCGGCTCCGAGCAGGACTTCTCCTACCTGGGGGGCTGGGGGCCGCGTTTCCGGCAGCTGGCAGCGCTGTACGCTGGGCGCAGGGGCGAGGAGGACGGCGAGGAGTCCTAGCTGTCCCGCCGACCCCCCGCGAGGCCCCCGGCACCCCCTGGACCAGGGCTCCGCGCTGCGAGGTGCCGCGCGGGCACAGCGCGCGCCCACGGCCGGGCTCAGCTGCTGCCAGAGCGGGGCTGCGCCGTGGGGCCGGGCAGCGCCGGGCGACGTGCCCCCCATCAGCTGCCTCCTGTCCGGGTGCCTCTGCACTGCCTGGCGAGGCTGGAGCCACTGCGGCCACCACCATCTCCTTAATTCCAGTCTCCATTAGAGCACTACGCATTAATTTAAGAAAGAGAAAATCCAATTCAAAGAGTTTGGAGGGGGTTTCTCCCCCACAAATTATCATTTAAATAGATCTGTTCAGTGAGCCCAGTTCAGGAGAGGAAGAGCAAACCGGGAGCCTTTTGTTGTCTAAATTGTTTTTGTCACTTGAGTCAGAGCATTTGAAGTGCTTTGATTTCTTTAAGAGCTTTCCTTGCAGAGGGAAACAAGCTTTTAACTTCTGTTCAGCTTTTCTCCCCTTATGTTCACTCGCTGTTTGGAGTCCTCCTCCTCTCTGGGCATGGGCTGCTCGGCAGTGCCCGGCTGCTGGCGCAGCATCAGAGGGAGCGTGCCGCGCCGGGGATGTGTGTGCTGGGTGCGGGCTCCAAGGTCACATCCTGCATGGAGCGACTGCTGCGCTAGAGTTCACTTCAAAACACGCTTTGCCTCTAAGCTGCAACTGCTTTGCCTCTCGGTTCTCAGACCTTTCTTGTGGTTATCAAAGATGCTTGTGATTTGAAGGGGCTCTCTCCCTCCTGGCACGGCAGCTGTTGTCTGCGAGGTCCTGAAGTGCCACAGCCCCAGTGACAGATGGAGACATCCCGCCCGCCGCTGGGGCACGGTGGCCGGAGCCGCAGAGCAGCCGTGGTGCTGGGGAGTGCCATCGGAGCATCGCGGAGCCGGCTGCGCCCAGGTCTGCAGGGCTCCCAGCCAAGCGCTAGCTTCCTACCAAATGGCGTGGGCTGCACAGGGCAGGAGGCAGGACGTCGGTGCCCCCCGGCCGTCGGTGGGGGGAGAGCTGCGTCCTGGCTAGAGGACCATGCTGTAGGGTGCAAGAGAACCCCAGCCCTCTGGTTTGGAGGGATGATTCCTGCTAACACCCAGCTGACAGTAAAGCATCACCACTGGTGACAGGAAAGCCATCTCCAAGACATGTGCATAAGGCCAGATCCGGCCGGTGCTGCTGTGCGGTCGAGCTGGTTGCTGCAGGCTGGGCAGCGGGTCTGTGACACCTCGGGGTACCCAGGTTGTCCCCACCCCGGCACAGTGCCCTGCAAGAAACCAGCATGAGCTCCCACAGTGGGGTCGCCTTTGCATGAGATCTCTGGATTCAGGGGGCAGGTCGGGAGGAGGCTGGCGGGATGTGCCATTGCTCCTTGGGCTGCAGATGATGCTGGAGGAAAGCGCTCGGTGCCCTGCACCTTTCCAGCCTGCTGACTTCCCCAGGGGTGAATTAAGCAGCATGTTGAGCAATGCCCTCCGGCAGCTTTTCGGGCTGTGATGGCTAGTGCAACTCCTTATCTGTTCAGGTTGGAAAAAAAATCAATTATATCATTGATAGGTAACTGATTAGGTCTCCTAAGGCCTGACACATCCTGGGCTTGTCATTGGGTTTGTCCTTTTAGTTTAGCCACAGACAGTGTTCTATCTCCTTGGAGAAGGTTTAACTATAAATGTACACGCGTGTTCATTTTTTTGCTGTGTTTTGCTTCCCGGCTGCTGCTGTCAGTCCTCTGGCTGCAGCGCGAGGCTTGACAGCGAAGAGGGGCAGGACGTGTCTTTGCCACAGCTCCTGCCCCCGGCCTCCACGTCCGCCCACGCCGGAGCTGCAGCTTGGCTTTCGCACTGGGACCAGGAGCTGCTCGCTTCTCAGGGTCTCTCTGGTCCCCCCAGGGAGGCGGGGGGTGCCTGCTGCTGGTTCACTGTGATGGTGCTGGGGAGGCAGCGGGGCCAACGGGCTGCTCCGCGCTGGCCCTCGAGTGCCGGCCCTGGCCATGCCACCTCAGGCAGGTGATGCCCTGCACGCTGGAGCTGGAGAATGGAGAAAGCCCTCTCTTTCCTCAGGAACATGTTTGTGTTTTCCCTCCGAGCTGAAGACCTGTGCCCAAGCCCCCCTGGAGCTGGCCCTTCCTCTAGCAAAAGTGTTGTGCAGTAGCAGGGCTCTGTCCGCAGGAGATGGGGTCTGACAGGGTACATGTTTAGCAACCCTCCTACTGGGTTACTCCCCATCCCTGATCAGCCAGTCCTCTCCAGCACGCATGCACGCACGCTTGCGTTTTAATTTCTATCCCACCTGTAAATACGGGAGGAGCGTGGTGCTGCCCTGCGCTCCCCGTCCCCCCGCACCTGCAGGAGGAGCTGGCGGCTGCCACAATGTCTGATGGAGTCACTTTGGTTTTCTTTCTCTACCCAAATGAAATTAGGAGGTTGATTTCCTCACCCTTGTTATTTTTTCAAGGTCTTTCTAGGACCTGGAAATAAATTATTTCCTTGTCGTCTAGCCTGAGTCTTACTTGCTTATTTTGTCTTGTTTCATTTCCTCATGTGGTCCCATCAGCACCTTCCCGGAGGGACTGAGCTGGCTGCCCTGCCAGCAGGACAGGCCACGGCACAGCCCGGTGCGGCACGCTCCCTGCCGTGAGCCGAGCCGCCGGCCTCCCGCAGCACGTTCCCACTGGCAGGATGCTGCTTCTCTGTCTTCTTCCCGTTTTTCATTAAATACTCATCAGAAAAAGCTTCTTCAAGAGAAGGGTCAGGTTTTCTGTCTGAATTTCAAGGAAATTATGGAAAAATGTGCCCTTGGCTGTCTCCATCTCTTCAGGAGGAGAAGGTCGGGTTGCGTTTTGGGTTGCACGAGGTGCTGGGTGTGTGCTCCAGCCTGGCTGTGGTGCCCACTGGCCATGTCTGCTCCCAGCAGGAGCCACCCCAGCACGGGGGTCCAGGGTCTGAGCTGGTGCAGCTGGGCACAGGCTCCTCAGCGTGGTCCCTGAAGCCCTGTCCCCGTGGAAGAGCAGCAGGAGCTCGTCATGCAAGGGGGCTGTCTGTCCTTCGTCCTGACGAGCGACAGCAGAAAGAGCGAGAGCCAAACTGCACACCAAGCAACAAAAGAAAGTCTGATGATGCATCCTCATGATCTCCCTTTCTCAGCCAACAGAGTTCCTTAATGTTCTTTGAAAAGTTTGTCTTTAGTGTTGTTCTCTTGAAGTCACAGATAGCCTTGTAGCTGAGCCGATCACTCACAAGCATAGATCCTGGTCATGAACTTCTTCCCAGCATCAGTGCAGCTGGGCATTGTCAACAGGCTTTGTTACGGTGGCCCATTCTCACGTTGGTAATGGTAGCAGTGTTCAGTTAGTGGCTGCAGCAAAAAAATCCCCTTCATACTCGGTTTTAATACTGAAATTATGCAAATAAATGACACTCTAGCCTGACCGCAGATTAATCAGTTGCTGATGGTTTTCTGGATGGCAAGGGACCAGGGAATGATCAACATGCTAATGGCAAACAAGCACGAACGTCCCTGGGCCTGGGGAGCCTCGACAAGGCATGCGGCTGCGAATGCTCCGGCACCCATCGGAGCTGCGAGGGCTGGATGCGGCACAGGGCAGCTGGCCAGCACCGAGAGGGGACACGTGCACTCAGCTGTGGTGGCATCAGTGTAGGTCAGCAGATAGCATGGGCGGAATTTAAACCTCTCCAGAAAACAACTGTCATTTAAATAGCATCTTGCAGTCCTCACTACAAAACAGGCTTATTGATCCCCAAGGTCTTTAAGTGTTTCTGTATCCTTCACCATCCCCGTGCCTCCACTCCCATCCTGCTCCCTTGATTATTCACTAAATGTTATGGAAGAAGCATCTGGTGACCTTTGACAACAGCAGTTAGTGGGATGCTATAACAGAAGGGAGGAGTCTCGAGGCCAGAGACTTCTGAAGACACACAAGTTGTGCTGCCAAACCTCAATATACACACTACTCTTCACGGTTTCAGCGAGTGCCTCTATAGCTGCCAGCCTTGAGGAGGCCTTTCTGTGAGCATCATCATTAATTGCCCACCCACAGCAAGTGTGTCAGCACTGCACTCACAGCTGTGTGCTCCAGTAGTTCTGGACACATCAGCCAGTTGCTGTTTGCAGAGAGCTACTGGTGGTTGCTGTGTGTTTGCACCCCAGGTTTTCAGCCCAGGACCTTAGCAACAAGAACTCTCACGTTCCAGCTGCAGTCAGCACAGACATGTGTTCTCTTTGACTCCTGCTGTCCAACTTCAGGCACCCAAACAAGCAGCCTAGTTATCTTAGGACTCTGGGGATCAGGTGGACTGGATTGTCCTAGGAACTCCCCACTGACAGAGGAAGCACCTGCAGCTCGTGTGCTCCTAACAAAGGAGGTAACAAGTGCCTAGCATTGAATGTGATGAGCCTGGGCCACGCAGAAAAATTTTCTTCTTGGTATTGTGGATGAATGGAGGGCTCAAAGCAACAAATTGCCAGCCAGAACCAGGCCCTTAACTACAAAAGAGGAGGATTATTGAGAGCTCTGATTGCAGAAGCATCTGTGAAGATGCTTTAAGGGCTCCATGCCCCTTCAACACAGCCTCTTTTGAGGAATATTTTCTATAGTAACTTCTCTCTCTCTTCAGTAGTTGCACAGCAGCCTCTGGCTCCTTGCAGGGCAGGGCAAGGGCAGGCTGATCTCCATGCTTCTGCAGGAGAGGAAGCCAGCCCCTCTCTGCAGACTGGTGCCCTGTGACAGGACTGTCTCAGATCCAGGCTGGGCAAACCCCGGGGCTGAATTGCTGGTAAGTGTGGAGCGAAGATGCTCCTTCCAGGTCAGTTCTCTCACCTCAGAGGCAGCCCTGGGAGTGTGGAGCGTGCCGCGCCGTGGGCCAAGGGCTCCCGTCTTGTTAACGACGGGGCAGCGGGGCCCCGAGCAGGCAGCGCTGTAGGAGCCGAGCGGGTGTGTGCGGCGGTGACTGCTGCGTGCTCGGGACGCGGCGCGGCAGTCGGGATGTGGCCCCGCTGCACCCGGGGTGCTGATGCCTGCTGCTTGGGGGTTTCTCTGCCTGAAGGAAGTCTGCTGTAGCCAGCTGCTTTGCAGGAGCAGAGCACGGCAGCTCTAGTGCTGCTCTGTCCTGTGTTTTTGGTCAAAAGTGGCTGTGCCCTGGCTCCCGCCGTGCTCCACGTCCTTCCACAGGGCTCCTGGCAGCTGCGTGCAAGTCACTCCCTCAGCATCCCCTGCGAGGCTGAAGCACGACCCTCGCCACACGGGCTGCGGCCTGCGGCTGTCTGCTGGCAGGGCACAGTGACATTTGCCACTGTCACATTCTGGATGAGTCCTGCAAGGCTGGTGCCCCTGTGCTACGACGGCAGCTGGATGCTGCAGCTCTGCTCCCAGCCCAGCACTGAGACACTGCAGCGGTCACCTCTAACACCTTCGCTCTGAGCCACAGCGAGCTCCAGAAGGTAAGGTGTCCAAGCCTCCTCCAGAGAGTTACTTACAAAAGATGGATGCGATCTGCTGGGAGCATTAAGGGGAAATGAAAAAAGGGCAGTGATATCTGCACCCCCAGGAGAAAAATACATCTCTGGTAACTGAGAGCAAGCAAGGCCATGTAAGCCTCCACCTCCCACTCGCGTTGGTAATACGCTGCTCAGGAAGGTGTTTGCTTCTCCCCCCATATCCTCCAAGGAAGCTGCTATGTCACCAGAAAGCCGGCTCCTTTAACCACCTCTGCCACAGCTAATAGCACAGCTCCCTGCATCCTTTCACTTACCAAGGCCATGAGCTTCCTTGAAGGCAGGTATCAGATTCTCACTGCCCAGCATTTCCCAGTTTTGCATCTCTGTGCCCAGTGCGAAGACAGCGGTTGTGTCTTGTTAGGAGTTTCTTGCTGTGCTGCAGTGCTCCAGTTTGTGCTCTCCCCTTACTGCAGCTCTGCTGCCTCCCAGCCCAGCCTGGGAGCTTTTCCAACATCCCGGACGTGACCCAGGCTTGGGGTCTGCAGCAGCAGGTATTCCTCCCTGCTCCCTGGCAGGGATGGCAGCTGAGTTTCCAGGCAGCTGTCACAGCTACGTGTTGCCACAGCCAGAGAAGTTAGAAACAAAATCATTGACTTTTACTTGGCCATGAAATCTTGCTCCTGGGCAGTCAGAGCGTGCCGGGGCAGCACAGCGGAGAGCGGCCGTTCCTGCTTCCCACCCGGGATGCTGGTGCTGTGCAGAGTGGCCAGGCTGGCTGTCAGCCACTCACACATCCCGGCAGCCTGGGCTTTCTCCTGGCCTCCCGATCCTTTTCCAGACGAGCATGGATTTAATGACTGTTCTTCAAATTCTAAGGGAAAGACCTTGGGCTTTTCAAATCTGGATCCAACAGAGGTGGGCAGAGTCTGAAAGCAGCCGGGATACGCAGCCACTGTACCAACCCAGCAAAGCAGAACCAGGGGACCTCTGCACGGTAATTGCACAGCCCCAGCCTTACAAAGGGCCTTAGTCCAGCCTGCCCTCGCTGATGCTGGAACCCAGATGTGGGGGGTCAGCATCTGGCATTTATTGTCATGACACTGGGCAGCAAGGATGGGTAAAAATCGGAGCGGGAGCCAAGTGCCTCAGCATTTGCCTCTCCTGGGTTGTGCAGCGTGGCACACTGCCCCTCTGCCTCTTCTGCTGGTGCGTTTGCCAGGCATTTGTACTTAGGATGCCGAGCGGTTGTTCTTGGACATCCCTCATCCTTTGCCAGTGACAGCGAGTGTTTGTGGCTCGGGGATTGCTAACTGCCCTGTCCAGCTACACTGTGGTTTTGTGGACATATATTTTTCATCTGTTGCTATAGCTGCTGTAGAGGAGCTGCTCAGGTGAGCATGAATGAGTCCAGCTGTTCACTGGGGGAAGCAGACACCAGCCATTTCTAAGCAGAATGCATCCCCT